AGAGAGGCATTCACCCCCCTGGAATATTAAATTTTCAATATGTTTTCAGGGGGGTGACTGCCTCTCTTTAGGGCACTTGCTAAGAACATGGCGGACTGAAAAAATCCCTTACGCACTTTTAATAAGAAGATACACTTCTGTATGTCTTTATTCTGTGGTATAGCAGAAGTGTAACTTGAGTCGGTGTTTACGTCATAGAAATAATAGACATAGAATGCGTGCTAATGACGAATCATGTCTCCACTTTTTCAGGTGCGTGCCCTTTTGAATGCGCCATTTTGAATTTTGGCCAGGAGTGCAAACGACAAAGTATAAACAAAGCTAAAACTACGTTTTTATCGTCAAAACGTTTTGTCTTGTTGTCTAATTTGTAGTTTGGGGATAGATTTCGAGTTCCTTGAAGCCACAAACTGTCAAAGCAAATGTGCAGTTACAAAACACTATGAAAACAGTGAAAATCGTGCAGCCTTTTAAAAGCAAAGTAGTTTCGCGAAAATATAATTTACTCAAAACATTTTTGCATGCTCTAAACGTAACTGTTTTGCTAATATCTTATAAGATTACAAAATGATAGTTCTTTCTTCGTCGGGTTTCGTTTTTCTGCAATGTAAATGAAGTGTTTTCATGTTCTTGAAACATTTTATAGTTGTCGAGAAACTGTAAAATTGCCTAAAAATAATCGTCGAAAACCATGGTTTCAAAAGCGTTGCCTCAAGCTCAAGCAACGTAGAAAAATACGAAATATAATTGTGTAAGTTTAAAAAGATTATTGAACTCCATTTATACTGTAAAAGAGTTGAAATATTTGTAGAACATACCTATTGAGTTTGTCTTGATCTTTTGTGTTTTGTTTTGGCTTGCACAACAACATAACGTTGAAAATGTATTTTTAAACGACGATTTCTGCATATATTCTGTTCAGAACTATTGCTTTTCGTAAAAAAAACCACTGGAATGGATTTTTAGACACTTTTCCTTAGTTTACCAAACTGTTTTTCCATTTTAAGTCCCGATATAAAATTTTTTGAAAACTTTTCAGTTGAAAAAATAATTCGCACTCCGTGCAACCGCGCGAAATTCCCTGCCTCAGGAGTCTGGGACGGTGGGACCAACCAAAATGCCCTTTTCAATGCGCCATTTTGTGGAGACAAATTTTTTACTGAGAAAAGATAGGAGCACGCATTCTATGTCTATTATTTCTATGGTTTACGTCCACGAAAATTTTAACTCGCTCACGCCATCCTGGCTAGTACAGTGAACTCTAATAATAACTGGAAGGCTAACTCCTATGATGAAAGTCTATGATTCGTTGAAGCCGGCGCGCGGGAAAATCAGCTTTCAAAAGGACTAAGGAGAGTTTCGAGGAGTGAAAAACATTCTGTCAAAAGTTTGTTTTCGAGCAAAAATTTGCAAGAAAAACACTTTTCCCATGGGAATACAACAATGACTTGGGATTTAAACCAAGTTTCCGATTAGTTCCGACTGTTTTACATCTCTCTGCAGCAGAAAGTAAGGAATTTTGCTTTTGTATTTTGAAAAAATGACGAAAGTTTGGACGTGCCGAAGGAAATCTCGCCGTTCAAACCAAAAATATATACTATAAAACATTTTGACAGTCCCAAAACTTATGTTGTACTAAACCCCAGGTATTGTTATTGATCCTGAGCTTTTAGTCCTTGTTTTAGTCGCTCTTAAACATAAATAAATTGGCGTTTTTCAAGTGATGTTATTTTCGTCATCGGCATCTTGTTGGCCACTATGAGCACTTTGAATATGGCAATATTTTTGTCCATTTTCAAATGCTTTTTTTCGACCTTAAAACGTTAAATCTTCTTGAAACTTCGCATACAGATGTATTTTGCATGGGTATAAAAAATTCCTGAGGTATGACGTCTTAGTTTTATCTTAAACTTCCAAAAACTCAGAAAAAGCAGCCTGAAACGCGCGGTTTTTCTGACCGTTCATGCTTATGGCCGTGTTTTTTCGTATTTTTTTGCTAATACGTGATTTGTTTGCTTTGCGAATATTAAATTCATTTATAATACTACTGATATAAATTAAATTTGGTAGTATAACTAATATTTTGGGGCAAGATTTTTTTGATCGAAAAATGTGCATATTTTGAAAAAAAAATGTAAAAAGGACTGGGTCTACCTACAAAAAAAGCTTCAAGCACGGCTTCAACTTCCCCCCCTGACTTAGCCTTCCAGTTATTTATAGTTCAATGGGCTAGTACCATAGAATATATAATCGACCAGAAGTCTCACTGTACACCTTTCCTTAACATTTTTGTGTCCGCGATTTTCGCCTTGCGGATCACGAATTTCGCACGCTAGATGACGTGTGTGACACTTGCTGCGAACATCACGTCAGCGTTCGTCAGCAAAACGGTTAAAACAGCAATCTTTATTACCTGGTAATGGCAATTGATGGCGTAATTGCTCGCGTTTTATGGCGTGGATTACACTTGCTGGCTCGCGCCTGCGCATAAAAAATCTCGGACATAATTTTGGCTGAGTGAGGCTTCTGGTCTTATTTTCTATTCTGTGCTAGTACAGCCGGAAGTTTTTATAAGGTTTTGGTAGGTACCAAGTGCCGGTTGTACTAGCCAGGATGGCGTGATTGATGACGAATCGCTTGTAAAAACGTGGACAAATACTTGCTTGAGTAAGACTTCTGGTATACCTTCCTATTCTGTGATAAGGCCACAGAATAGGAAGTTATACCAGAAGCGTAACTCGAGCAAATATTTGTCCGCGTTTTTACAAGCGATTCGTCATCAATCACGTCATCAATCACGCCATCCTGGCTAGTACAACCGGCACTTTGTACCTACCAAATCCTGATAAAAACTTCCGGTTGTACTAGCCAGGATGGCGTGGCCTGACGTGAGCGAGTTAAAATTTTCGTGGACGTCAAACAATAAGAGAAACGACTAGAGTTACGCTTCTGGTATAACTTCCTATTCTGTGATAAGGCCACAGAGTAGAGACATACAGAGACGTAACTAGTGTACCCACTTTTTTTGTGCGCATGCTCGGCAAGTTACTAGATGCATGCATCTGATTGGATAACGACCTGATGACGACTCACTTTAAACTTGCTGAGCACGCGCAGTTGATCATTTTTCGCCCGGTCGCCTGAAAAAAAGTGGGTACATGATAACGTAATCTTCCGCAGTGTTTACAACGGTCAGTTACGTCTCTGTATGTCTTATCTACTCTGTGATAAGGCGCTTTCCTCGGTTTGCAACAGGTCTGTCGCAAGTTGTTGAAAACAGCATTGCTGCAGCTCTGTGTCAACAACTTGCGACAGGCCTGTTGAAAACAGCATTGCTGCAGCTCTATCACAACAGCTTGTAACAGACCTGTTGAAAACAGCATTGCAGCAGCTCTGTCACAACAGCTTGTAACAGACCTGTTGAAAACAGCATTGCTGCAGCTATGTCACAACAACTTGTAACAGACCTGTTGACAGGCCGTTGCAGGTCTGTCAGAACAGACAGGTACAAGGCGAGCGAACGCATCCAGATATCGGCTTGTTGACAACAGGATTTAACAGATCTGTTGCAGATCTGTTCCGACTTGCGCGTTTCTGGCTGTGTAGCATTTTGAGTTACGCCTGCTACTATATAAGTCGACTGTAAGGGATTTGGTAACTTCCCCGTACCATAGAATGCCCAGGACAGGCAAAGCCGCAAAGCCTCGATGCGGGCATAAGGAGAGCCTTTTCAATTCCCTCACTAGAATTCTACTGACCAATAGCTGAATTCATATTAGAAGACGGATTTCCGTCTAAGACGGGAAACTCGTGTGACGGATTTCCTTCTGGTATAAATATGAAACGAAAACCATCGGACGGATAAACCCGAAAAAATAGGAGACCCTCCATCCCAGTCTCTTTTCAACGTTGTGAGCAGAAACCCGTCTTGGATTTATTCGTCTGATATAAATTTAAGACGAGTTTCACATCTAAGACGAGTAACTCGTCTATTATTAAAGTTTCCCATCGTTCAGACGGGAAAGTTAGACGGAAAACCCGTCGTTAACGGAATTTATATTTGGATGAGTTGCTCGTCATACTTGTAATGACCTTGTCGTCGTCGTTGATCACGTGTATCATCAGTTGTTGGAGCCATATAAGGACATCTGCGAGGCAGGCTACGTTTACACTATATACCAGATAGCTTTCCGTAGCGACGCGAAAAAGAACTATCTTATATCTCTCCGTTGCAATAATTCCTCTGAACTAGTAGCGTTCCTAAAAGGCAGGATAGGTGTTTTTCACGTCGCTACCGAAAGCTATCTAGTAGTATAGTGTTCACGTAGCCTAAATAGTAGACAGGTTCAGATTTGACTTCCACTACCTCTCACTCACTTAGTACGCATCTGATTGGTTAATCGGATATATCAAGCGTATCTGATTGGTTGATGGTCCCTTAATGGTAGAGGTAGCGGTAGTGGAAGTCAAATCTGAACCTGTCTAGTGTATCATGAACCTCGGGTTTGGATGAATGTACCCTTTCGAGAAGTAGGTTACAATGGGCATAGTCTAGAGCCTTGTTTTTGTGGCAGTTAGTTATCACGAAACGAGGCTCTATAATTGAATTTATTGATAAAATAACAAAGCAATTGACAAAGGACAATAATCAATATACAATTGGTATTATGCTTTAGTTTATCCTTATTTAATATACGGAAATTTGATTTGGGGAAACACATATAAGAAACGACTACAAAAATTAATAAGCATTCAAAAGTAAATGATACGATTAATGATGTTCAAGTCATATCTGAGCATTCTGAACCACTATTCACGAAGCAAAGCCAAAGATTCTTAACATTGTCATTGAAAAAAATAATGATTTTCTAATCAGTTTATTCATGTTTCGATATCACTACTTGGATAATTTACCAAAATACTTTACCCACCCCCCCCCCCGCCCTGTTTTGTGTGTGTATCACCAATGAGCTCCATATATATCTGGAGCGGGAACTTAAGCCCAAAAAGTGGAACCAAGGTGGCAGAATTGAAGAGCTATTGGACACCAGTTCTAGTCCCTTCAATTTCTGGCAATTGCTAGATAGTATACTTCAAAATAAGATTTCCGTTTTTATACAATTTTTAAAATAAGTTAGGGTTAGGTTAGGGTTTAGGTTAGGGTTAGGGTAAGGTTAGGGTGAGGGATAGTATTAGGGTTAGGGTTTAGTTTTGAGTTAGGATATTACTTAAAGGATACTACTTACTTTGAAGTATACTATCTAGCGATCACCCTTCATTTCTGTTGTTTTTGTCTGCACAGTCAACACAAAGCCGGTAAAGAGTATGCCAAAAAATTTTGGTTTTATGAACTGACAACTTGTTTAGGAATTGGGTCCGTGAGAAAAAATTATTTAAAAAAATTTATTGTTTTTTATTTATTTAAAAAACTGGAATTAGCTGGAGAAAATGATATTAAAACTGCTTACATCCTTCATAGCTATTGCATGGACGTCAATTTGCGTCATCTTGGCTTCACTTTTCCCATTGGCTGATGTTCTTGCTCCAGATTATATAGAGCTCACTGGTCATCAATGTTAAAAGCAACTTTTAGCATAAACTTATTAAACTGACCAGAAATAAAAAATCATTTGTTGTTATCAATATCATCCACATGAGCGAATCATGCCAAATGTACATATTTGTCATAAAAATGTCACATAAAATTTGTTTGTGTAGACAGAGCTTAAATTAAATAATTTATCCTGAATGTTTCATCATTTTATGCTCTACTCCTTATTTTGCAGCTTTTGTTTTCACCCATGTGAGAGTCATTGCAGCATGTTATTGTTGATACACATTCATAAGAACCATCTTCTTTTGGACCCATGCGATACAAGTGAACCTCTTTCACTGATTCCACTCCAAAGTATTTATCAAGGTATGATTCGTATACTTTCTTAATTTCATCCTTTCTAAATGACCTCTTCTTTATTAAAGTCAAATGTGGATTATATTCCTTCTTGTCAGTCAGACAAATCTCATCTTCTTCAAATGCTTTTTTTATCACACTGTTAATATTTTTCAGACAATCAATTTGTTGCTGCTCTTGAAGCTTCACAAACACTATTTGATTGTTGAAGTTTCCAACCCCACTAAATATTAATTTATGATTGACAGCTTGTAGAGCACGACTAATTTTATCCTTACATTTTTCCAAAGCATCTTGTGCAATTTTTATTGTAGTTTCATCTAAATGCATCACAGCCATTGTTATGTGGAGGGAAAGTAAAGGAATTAGTGCTGGTTTTAATTTTTCATTTTCTTTCAAAACTGCATCTTGAAAACCTTTAATTGCAAGGTGAATGGCAGGATCTGATACACGAATGGCAACAAAGTGATTTGGTCTTTTCTTTTTAATTTTTATTTCTTCAGTCTTTCCACCCTTTTCTGATTCACGTTTTCTTTTATGGACTGTCTTCGTCTGTGCATGCTGAGCCAGACCAAAAGAACTACCACTTTCATCCGTCAACGAACTTTCACCAGAACCACAGCCAGAACGTTTGTTGTTTTTAAATACATCCATATTTATTTTAAAACAGGATAGAGATCAAATTTACTTCCAAGGAAAATGGCTGTTGTATTTTGCTTGGAAGAACATTACAGCAAGTTTTTGCTCAAACCTCGGCACAATCGTTAGATTTTTACTGCTGCGATTAGAGAAAGGTCATAGCTATCTCGTGTTCAAATGATAATGAATTTACACGGTCGCCGGGTCGGCTTTACAGTTTCAGATTCGCATTTCAGATTCACATTCGGATTCGAATATGAAAATAGATCTGTGTCTGGCGTATAAAATGCCGAATTACTCAGTCATTTTCTACGCAATAAACTTGTTAATCAATTTCATTCTTCTTTAGAACATTACGCAAGAAAAAATACGGCTAAACATTATAAATTTTTAAATATGCTGGCATAGATCCACTATTAAGAAAAAAATGCACTTGTTCTCTTCTGCGATTATATTTCATGAACTCCGGTCGAAGACTCGAAATATATGAGAATACAAGCGATCACAACCCCAATTATTTCTAATTATACTAATTACAGGCTTTCAGCCCTTGTATAATTGGAATTTTTCCTGCTGAAACCAGAAGTTGTTTGAAGCTAACAAGTGCGTTATATCATTTTATGCAGCCAGGGACGCCGGAACTGGGGGGCAGGAGGGGCAGCCGCCCTCGTTGCCCTTTACCAGGAGGGGCAAGGAGGGCAAAGGTGCCCTTTCAATGGCGGAGAACCCCCTCACACTCCTATCATCCAATAAATAGAAAACTTGAATAGGCGAAGTTCAACTCCCGATGTTTTGCAAACATCTCTAAGTATATATCAATTCAAAAGTGCCCTTTCACGAAAATCTGCATGCCCCCGCAGCCCCCCTTGCCTTCACATCGTTCCCGCATCCCTGATTTTATGATAGTTGTAGAAGAATGAATTTGCTGGAAACATTTCAATGTAAACGTGTGATGCGTGAGAATGATTTATTCTCTCAGCTGCGTTGTTGTCATTCGCTTTGGGTTACAAAAGCTACGTTTTGCGATTCTGCCTGACAAACGGTTTTAACATCTAGTTTACTTAGGGCTTGTGTACAGACAACATTTGATGTTAGTAATAAACTTATTGTACCTGTAAACCTCGCTGTAAACTATACAGTAAACAAAAAGAAATACAAACATACAGTGTATAATTATAATCTGAGCAGTTGGATTAATTAACCAATGGGCTTAAACATGGAGGGGCTTTCATCTTTTCCAGTCGATTTATCGCCTTGGCTAACCATAATATATTCTTTAAATTTCAACCTTCGAAGGCACAAATATAAATTTGTTTTGCATACAAATTTGAAATTTCTGAGCCGTCTCTCAGGTTATCTCGCACATGTCTCGAACTCGCGGTACCAGTGCGAAGTTTTCCTGCGTCCTGATTGGACGATGCCCACGCATGCGTTCGACCGTTTCAAAGGTTGCGAAACACCGAGCTAAAGCGTTCAGTGTAGTTCCTGGCAACTACAACGTACCTATATACGGAACTGTTACCTTTACTTGTGTGTGGTAGTTACCGATCATAGGATCTTGCGAAAAGGGTGCCACTGAGGCATAATGGTCTGGGGGCCGCCGGCACTCTCCCCCGTTGTTCGTTCAATCGTTCGATACCGGTTGGTAAGCCACCTATTCACCCGCCTCTGACGATAACGTTGAGTTTCGCCGAAATCTAGCTTAAACGTTAACATACGGCGTTCTAGCGGCTAGCACGAGACGGACTTGACCGATACGAGCTAGAAGAGTCGGGAAGTATGGACTGATGAGGCACTTTTCTTTTTCAGAAAAATGTTATTTGTTATACAACATAATTTAATACCCTTCGATACAAAACAGATCTTCTAATTTACCGATCAATTGAATTGCGACTTGTAACATGATTCTGTATGAATTTTTACTGATTTTCAGACCACTTAATTTGGTTGACAGCAGAAATTTAGCCAATTTTCTACAGTTTGGTAATTTGTGCAGTCTTTATGAGTTAAGCTCAAGCCAACAGGCTGCGCCGTTCCGGGCACAAGCCCGAAACCTGGGTAGTAATTCTGCCGGGCTATTTATACCCGGGGAAAGGAACGCACTAACAAAGGCTAATGTTCATCAATAACCGCGGGCGCATGACTATGGCCTATGGTTCACCATAGGTTGTGTCATTGGCCGTATTTATATTAGAAGACGTTTTAAAAACGTCTGGGGCCAGTTGTATAAAAAAGTGATTAAAGTTAACTATAGTTAGTGGAAACGTCATCCGATAAGAAGCGCCTATTTGAGAGTTAATCACTATTTAACTACAAAATAGTGATTAAAAAAGTGATTAAGATTTTTATACAACCGGCCCCTGGATATTTTAAAAACGTCTGGACGAATTAAACGTCCTGTGTTAATTTCGACTAGTATAAATACGAGATGAAATCTACTAGAAAAGTAGAAATCAAATGAAGATTACAATAGGAATACAGGAAAACCAAATGGCCGGGAATACCTGAGAAATACTAGTAATGTTACGATTGAGGTTGGCATAAGATATTTTGATTATAATAACTGGTTGATTACATGTTTATGATTTTCAGTTTATGTTCATCCTCAAATGAGACTGAGGAGTGTGATTTGTAATATTATACCATGTTCTCCTTATTTGCCGTGGTCAGAATCATTGCAGAACGTTATTGTTGACAGACATTTATAAAATCCATCATGTTCTTTGGCTCCTTGCATTGAACACAAGTGAACATTTTTCACTAATTCCTCTCCAAAGTAAGAATCAAGCCATGAAGCATATACATTCTCTTCAACTTTCTTTATTCCATTCTTTCTAAGTGAGCTCTTTCTTGATAACTTCAATAAAGTTAAATGTGGGTTATATTCCCTCTTGTCAGCAAGACAAATCCCATCTTCTTCAAATATCGTTGTTACCACACTGTTAATGGTTTTCAAACAATCAACTTGTTCCTTCTCTTGAAGCTTTGCAAACACTATTTCATTTCTGAAGTTTCCAACCCCACTAAATATTAATTTATGATCGACAGCTTGAAGACAATCACTGATCTCACCCTTACATTTTTCCAAAGCATCTTGTGCAATCTTTATTGTAGTTTCATCTAAATGCATCACAGCCATTGTTATGTGGAGGGAAATTAAAGGAATTTGTGCTGGTTTTAATTTTTCATTTTCTTTCAAAACTGCATCTTGAAAACCTTTAATTGCAAGGTGAATGGCAGGATCTGATACACGAATGGCAACAAAGTGATTTGGTCTTTTCTTTTTAATTTTTATTTCTTCAATCTTTCCATCTTCTTCTGATTCACAAATGTCATAATTCACCATTTTCCTTTTTCTACTCTTACTTTTATTTTTATTGTCACCAATATTTTTTTCACTGAACAACCATTCTAAACCATATGATTCATCTTCTTTAGATCTTTTCACATTCTTATTGCCTTTCTTTGATTTTCTTCGTCTTTTGTGAACTGTTTTTGCCTGTTCAAATAGAGTGACAAGACCAAAAGAACTGTCACTGTCATCTTCCCATGAACATTCATCAGAATTTTTACTTTTCCTTCCTTTCCATTTTGTTCTTTCATTCTTCTGTTCATTTGCATTACAAACTTTCAGTCGCGTCTTTCTATCCTCTCTTTTTTCCTTAAGTTTACTTTTCACATTTTTAACAACTTCCTCCATGTCAAAAAGCCTGTTCAAATCAAAACATTCAATATCTGAACTCATGCTTTGCTCATGATCAGAATTATTTCTACATCCTGCCTGATTCTCGTTCTTTTCATTTCCGGTTACCCCTTTTCCTTGATTTTGTAAATTTAAACCAGACACGTTCATCTCTGAGTTTGATACATCGATATTTAAACAGAACACCCCATTGTACTGATTGTAGCAAAAGTATGTATCAATGTATGTTTTCAATTTATGGTTGCAGTTCAACTGACTTTTATATCCTTCACTTCTCAATGTACAGAATACAGTACTGTCAGTACACTGCCACAATTTCCCGGTTAGCTTTCCCTGAAATAACTTATAAACTTTTTTTTGCAAATGAGACAAAAAAATACTCGTCATTTGTAAACTGCTTCTGTGATTTTTGTTTAAAAATGATCACACCCCTCCGAATGCACCCCTCACCCTCCCCCCTGTTTACACGGCAAAAATCCAATATGGCGGATTTAAAAGCTGACGTTGAACAGAAAGCAAGTTATAAAATCGATTGTAATGTACGAAAGGTGAGTATTTCATCAAATCTAAATATTTTCTTCAAAAGATCTATGTATAATGGTCACATCAGCTGAATGTTATTGTTCTATTCTTTAGCGTATTTATGCTGACGCGACTCAGAGTACTGAAGATTATTATGGCATTCTAATTGGTGATACTACCGAGGGGTTGTGTGATATTGTTGGCTGTATTAGATGTACATATTATGAAAATACTACTGAGAAGAGAAGGATAGTCAGTAATAAACCTGACTGGGTTAAAGAAGTTTCTGAAATCTGTACCTTAATACCTGCAGGTAAATTATTTAGCAGAATGCTCTGATAGACCAAATCCTTCCTTACTCCTTAGGCCACATAAAAAAAATATAGTTGGTTAGCGTCCCCGCCCGCCCACAAAAAATGCCCCGCTCAGGATTTTTTTTTATTTTTTATTTAAAAAAAACTACTTTTATTGATCAACGGGCTCTAATATATGTAGTATTTCTGTTGACTGTAGTCAATTGTGTTAATAATTTGCGAAATTGCGTGCGAAAATGACGGTATGAATCATATTTTGAAATATATAAAAAAATGCCTGTACTGCTCAAGAAAATCCAGTTTCAGACCTAACAGTGAGTAAAACCAAGGCGTTAAAAATTAGTAAAATTTTTAAAAAAGCGCCTGCCCGCCCACTTTTTGGCAAAAGCTAAGTACGCTAACCAACTATTTTTTTTTATGTGGCTTATAAGGCAGATTGCATTTATTAATATCCGCACAGGGGGTTGAGGACACTGGAAAATCTAGGGGAGGGGTATAAAAAAGTCATGGAAAATCCAGGAGGAAGGGTGAAAAAAATTGCAGGTGGGGGGGGGGGGGGGATTAGAGACCAGAATCCAGGGGATGATCTGCAATCAAATTGAATGAATTCCAGGGGTCACAATTTAGGTAATAAAATGATGTCATTGCCAGATGCAATCTGCCAATGTTAAGCATACACAGTTCAAAGATCTTGTACATGGATTACAATATGATGTGGCATATATCCAGCATATCACAAAGTGTTATAAAACTTAACAAACAGGTAAGTGGTACAGTAGGTAAATGTTTATTAGAGACTTACTGTCCACCACAAATGCTGGTAGGGTGTAAAAAAACAAACCTGTGGTTCTGGTTTCATATCACGAAAATATTAGGGTTGGTAGGTCGGCAATAATTTTTTTTTAAATATTTTTTTCATGTTTTTTTTCTCAATAATTAGTGTGACAACAGACGCTATTTTGGCAGCAGCCCGCAACCACCCGGAGAAAATAGGATCCCACGGTCAATCACGTTGAAAAAATAATAGGGTCGGCAGAAAAAAATAGGGTCGGTCGGTTGATGAGTTAAATCGTCTCGACAGTGAGAGTAAAATAACACAGTAGGCCTCATCAGGGTGCATTGCCACTTGTAGGGTTAAAGTTTGTGCTTTTTCCATAGGTCTAAAGATCTGTGGTCTATGTTTTGTGTCCAAAAATATACCAGTTGTGGAGTCATCTTCAGTTGAAGAAATATTTTCTGGAGCTGATGTTGAGGTATGTTGCCATTATTGTTGACTGCATGTATAGACATATAGTATACTACTACAGATGTTTTGCTCATGAAATAACTGATCAGTTATTCCTGTGTTGTTGCCTACTTTCAAACCGAAAGAGCCTGGATACGAGTCGATCCCTGAATATTGTGATATTCAACATAGACCCACATTGACGTTGATAAAATCTAAAAATTTGACGTTAATTGGGTCAATATTGATCAAGAGACAGCCCGATTCAAAAACTTTAAAATTTGCTAAGAAATGTGTGGTCGTCCCGACAATTGCACGACAACAGCGCATGTATGTCCGGTACAACATTTTTAATTCAACATTTTGAATGATCAGGAATGAAAATATTATAATAATATGTGAATCAATCAATGTTTGTTGATTGTAAGTATTTAAATAATCATTCCTGAATCCTGATGATGATTAAAACATAAATGAAACTTTGAAGCACAATAATTTTGTCTCCATTCAGAGTTAATGATATTCAGTAAAAAGTTTTTTACCACTTTAGCTTCCCACAGAATTCAAATGAGATCGGGTTGAAAAACCTATTAAATAATATTAAATAATTATGTAAAAAAATGGTTTAAAATTCATTTGTCTTTAGAATGACTTGATTAACAGCACACAGATACTCTGGTTGGTTGATCTAACTTCGAAAGATAAAGAGCAGGAAACTATATTTATTCAAAATTTATCTACTAAGTTAATTCAAGAATCCAGAGTGTTTTTTGATGATATATATGATGACTTTATTTCCAAACACGTTACCCTAAGATTACGTCATAAGTTGGAACTTACTGTTGAGGAATCACGTGATGCAGGTAAAGTGGAGTAAAAAATTTTAACTTAACGTTTTATTTTCGTGCATGACATCGTTATATACCTGCATGGATTACACGGTTTCAAAGATACTGTGCACGAATCTTTTTTCTCGAGACAATAAATCTTCGGTTGTTTTTAGCAGTGTTAGTACTACTGTACATGCATATACTGGAATCTATGAATGAACACATTTAGCATTACTAGTAGCATTGACACGGTTTTTAATAATTATTATCCCCATACGAATCATATTTGGCAATGCTTTATTTTTTACTATATATAAAAATTATACTTTGTAGTTCAGACTCTGTGCTCTATAGTACACCACAATGTCTACCATTGTTTTATTTCATTTAGATCTTTCTATGAGTTTATCAAAGAAAACAACTCAGTTCTGTAATACATTACACGATGCGACATTCTATCTTCCCGAGTGTAGATTATTGATTGGTGATGGAGTGAAGAACAATTCTGATAAGACCTGTCAAGAAATTCTTGATGACGTCATCGTAGACGAGGGATTTGGACAAGAGAAACATAAAAGTAACCGACGTTCAAAAAGCAAAGCAAAGGTGCGTAATTATTAACTTCAATGACAAATATACGAAGGCGATTTGAACTGAGAGTGAATCTTACACTACATGGACAATGCTAGGAAGTGTTGGCAAGTGACGTTGAGGAGCTGTGACATTTAACACTCCTCGGGCCTCAATGGCTGTTTGATTCACGGATTGAGGTTAGGAAAAACTTTATAAGTTATATCTATGACTTTAAAATGATGTTTAACGAGAACATAAGCCATTCGTCTGTCGCCATCTGTCCGTCCGTCCGTATTCGTGTTTTATCCTAACCCACACGGATTGCTTATTCTGTATGTCAAAAATAGTGTAGTCTTTGTTGAGGAATAAAAATGATTCACATTAGTTCATAAGATTTAGGTTCACCCATTCAGGTGCATTCTATATATAGCAGCAGAATTCACCATTCCCAGTGGTGGAAATCTTGGTGCCCCCCCCCCCCACCTTCTGGAAAATTGACGAAGTGCAAATGGGGGGGGGGGGGAGATATGTCGGAAATTTGAAAGGTTTGTCGGAAATTTAGGACGCTTTGCCCCCCCCCCCCACCGGAAAAAGTGAATTTCCGCCACTGACCATTCCTGCAGTTTCATAAAATAACCATTCGTTGAATTGATATATGATGTTGACATGTACTTTCAGGATGTGTTGAATGTTCAACTAGTTCAACCTTTGTCAAAGAATAGCACTCATAATCATGCTCCTGTTATGTTATGTCAGAAACGTAAGTCCCTATGAGTCAGTTTATTTGACAGATCCAGATATCACGACTTCATTATGACCATTGTAACCTCTACAGATCAGTTCACTGCTACAAATATCTGTTTCCGCTGAAAAATACAGCGGGCACATGCAAATACCGTGAAAAAATCTATCCGTGAAAAAATCTAACGAAAAAACGCAACAGAGTACAGTGAATAATATTAGGAGTGCATTACAGGTTCATGAAACAGCTGTATAAATGTTAGGTTATATCGACGCTTCCTTCTCCCTTTTTTATTGTTGCTTCCTTCTTATACATTCTCATACTTCCTTAAATACAATGTTACTTCAATCAACAAAGATTAGTTATATCAATATATATATATGTATATATATAGCCTATGAAGATTTTTTAATGAACTCTTATTTTCTACAAAATATGGACGTTTTTTCATTATTCTGTTTAGAAGAGAGTGATTACGTGAAATTTCTTATGGCAGTTGACGTTGTAGTTATGCTTGCTATGAACTGCACTATATCAAGACTAAAAAGTTTATTTGTACGTGGTATTAAAGACCAACTGCAGGGAATCTTGTCGTGCTTTGATACATACTCCAAGGTAAGACTTCCGAGTGATTGGGGAGGTATGTGGGTGAGGGTGTGCTGATCATTTTTACTTGCAGCAGGGAGCTAAGCTGAATTGCGATGGACGCAGCTCAACCTGATCGAGTCTAAAGCCCGGATCAAAATGGGGATGAGATTGCATGAGAGTTGGTAGTCACGTGACCTTGGTTAACTGTTCTTAATGCTTTCCCAACGTTGTCATACTGTATATTCTGTTTAAGTTAAAACATAGTTGGAACACTCAAAAGTATCAAACTTTTATTAATGATCGGGCATGAAAGATATCACGTTTGCCACAAGCACCCACGTTCGTTCTTCAGTTATCAATATCACTTTTTCTCTTTACCCAGGATTCTTCATTTTGCATTCCTAAAGTGTTCCATTTTAAAACACCGAAAACGCCATATTTAACGACATGTATATATCCTTGGAAACAGAGTGACGACGAGATCTTTGATGAAAATAATTTTGGTAACGTATTCCTATTCATCTTCAGTTGACAAAACTTGTACACTTACTGTAGTAATGGGCATCTGCATCAATTGCTTTGAAAAGCAATGGCGCATACTATTCTTAGAATAAGACAAGCTTCATCCTTAGATTAAAATTTATAACAGAACGTTCTTCTTTAGAAAATGAAAGATCTTGTCTCTTAAAGAAGTTAATTCTTCCTGCCCAAAGACCCACACTTCATCCTAACAATGTCTACATATTTCAGAATGATCGCCCGAAAGGTACAGAACTTTAACTAAATGATATATTTTAAACATATTTTGCAGTTTTGAAATTTCTTATTAAACAATTCTTTATTTTAATTTGGTCTTGTGTAGTTTCGTCATATCTTGTAAATCCTCATGAAGGTCTAACAAATCCTGGAGGTAGGAATCACATACTGTCTGTAGCAGTTGGGGCACCTTGGATAAAATTCACAGATTACTAGATTAGCGCAGTTTAGATCAGATGTGGAAACTCATTTATTGATAATTGTTAGTATAAAAAATAATCATAAATTATTGAAATCCAATGGCATTCAATTCTGAAAAAGTCCATGATTAAGGTGATAAGTGATGAATGTGTTGTGGGAACATACCATACTTACATACATGTATTCGTAATGAGACCGTAACTAGACGCGACAATTGGGGTTGCATATTCATATAATTGTGTTCCACTTGGTAGCATTTTGCTTTTCAAAAGAAATCCGTCGCCCTCAATTATCGTGTCACATTTACTGCCTGGTAATGAGTGAAACTTCCAATCGATTTCCTTCCAATTTCTAACTGATATCGTGAATAACATACTGACATGCATTTATTATAAAAATGTTTTCATGCGTATTTATTTTGAAATTGTTGGATTTACATGTTGCTGTTATTGGATGGATATTATTCCTATCATCACTATATGCAAGATAACTTTGATGATAATGAGTCGAGCATATAGCCTGCTCGCAGCCTGAATTTGTTTGGTGGGGTAGAGGGTATAGTGGAGACACTAATATTGATCTCATGTGCAACGTATATCAACTACATGTATCCAGCAGGGGTATAGTGGGGCACTGTATTGATCTCATGTGCAACGTATATCCAACTACATGTATCCAGCAGGGTATAGTGGGGCACTGTATTGATCTCGTGTACGACATATATCCAACTACATATATCCAACTACATGTATCCAGCAGGGTATAGTGGGGCACTATTGATCTCATGTGCGACATATATCCAACTACATGTATCCAGCAGGGTATAGTGGGGCACTGTATTGATCTCATGTGCAACGTATATCCAACTACATGTATCCAGCAGGGTATAGTGGGGCACTGTATTGATCTCGTGTGCGACATATATCCAACTACATGTATCCAGTAGGGTATAGTGGGGCACTGTATTGATCTCATGTGCGACGTATATCCAACTACATGTATCCAGCAGGGTATAGTGGGGCACTGTATTGATCTCGTGTGCGACATATATCCAACTACATGTATCCAGTAGGGTATAGTGGGGCACTGTATTGATCTCATGTGCGACGTATATCCAACTACATGTATCCAGCAGGGTATAGTGGGGCACTGTATTGATCTCATGTGCGACATATATCCAACTACATGTATCCAGCAGGGTATAGTGGGGCACTGTATTGATCTCGTGTGCGACATATATCCAACTACATGTTCATGCAGGGGCTGGTTGTTCGGATAGAGCTGTCCTGCGGATAGTGATGTTTTCAGCCTAAAATTGCCTGTAAAAACACGAATATGTACATCTCAATCAATAAAAAGAAACTTTATAACTACCAAAGTTTAATCTGCGTTATACCAAGGAACGGACAATCGGAAAAGCTTGAAAAATTCACTCTCCCGGCGGATAGCGTTATCCAACCTTCGTACATGCAGCCCCTGCATTGAAACTTTTTACAAGTTTTTAAAAAGCTCAGGAACATTTTAACGTTCATGGGGCTTGGACCTGTAACCTCATGCAGGCACCAGATAGTGATTCTTTCAAACTTTCTAAAATTGATCGTTGAATATTATGTCTGGAGCTCTGGTAACAAATTGAGATAAATTTAAGACCCTTCAACTATTATTCAATCGAGTGAGATGGCAACAAAATCTTGATATTTACTCATAACCTAACATGGCAGTATGGCCAGTACCCTAGTATATATACATGAACATGTGGTTAGAGCTCGACAACTGGACACTGTAGACCGGAGGGCCGCAGGTTCGATTCCTGCCAGGGACCTGTAGTTGCATTTTTCGCAGCTGTTCCTGGTGAGATCTAATAAATATATATAAATTTCCACTCGATAAGAGGTTATTTCGCTGGCCTAAGAGTGACAAAACGTAACAAAGCAACGGTTTTACTAACACTAACCCTATTCCAAACACCAACTCTAACCTTAACCCTAATCCTAACCCTACTCCAAGTTTGTTTCTAAACCAATCTTGAAGAAAAAAGTTTTGACGAAATGTCATTCTGAGGTCAGCGAAATAACTTCTACCGATCGCGTGGTTATCGCGAATCATTACACCTGTGTGATGTGAAATCAATTGATGCGTACGTGGTACTTTCTGATTGGACAGTTTGAATTTGAGGTATATAATATACTGTACGTGCTAATTACAGTTTATTTTGTAGAAATGGGGCTGTGCATATCGTTCACTACAAACAATCTTCTCGTGGTTTCGTTGCCAAGGTTACACAGATAAAACAATACCAGACCATCGCTCTATACAGGAAGCCCTAGTCGCTCTCGGAGATAAACAAACATCATTTATTGGCTCCAAGAAGTGGATTGGATCGTTTGAGGTTAATCTTTGTTTAGATTATTTTCTTGATGTGAGTTCCAAAATAATGGCCGTCAACAGTGGGGCTGAGTTGCAAAATAGAGGCAGAGAGTTAATACGTCATTTTGAAACACAAGGAACGCCCGTCATGATTGGTAAGACACTGTTAACAATTCTGTTGTTACCTTTTTTGTTTGCCACGAAATTTTGCCGAAGAAATTGAAATACCGTTTGACCACTTTAGCATCACAAAAGTGTTTAAAAGATGTTGCAGGGTTTGTAGATGGAAATTTCGAGTGTGAATTTTATACATTTAAGCCTAGTTTCCATTTGGTCGTTAGTTGTCACTGGCACGACAAGCGGTAGATGTGAAATAGTCTAATATTAATATTACATCAGCCACTTGTCGTGCCAGCGACAACTAACGACCAAATGGAAACTAGGCTTTATTAAACCTAACCAGGTGCAGTTGCAAAAAATGCAACTATTGGACCTCTGGCAGGAATCGATAATACAATACAATACATTTATTTAATACCACAAATACAGTACAGTGAATTTGAAACATTTGTTAAGTAAACCTAATTAATGGTACAGGTTATCTGAAATAACTTACGTTAATCGAGTCAGACAACCTCATAATTATATCAAACATCGTGTGGTCGACATCAAATAGTTTAAAATCTTGGATCGCGACCGCTGACCTCGTGCGATTCCGGTGCAGCGTCCTAAAGCCGTTTTCCATTTTGGGCGGGATTTTGCGCGCGGAGCGGAATGCTTCTTTGTCTTGTCATTTCTCGGGTGGAACTAATATGAAAAAAAAACAAAGAAAAATTCCACTCCTCGCGCAAAATTCCGCCTAATTGAAAACCGGCTCAACCAAATGAGCCACAGAGTCCACTTGTCGAGCTCTAACTGCAAGTTTATGTAAGGTTAGAACTGGACAAGTGGACTCTGTACTGGACAAGAACTGGACAAGTGGACTCTGTACTGGACAAGAACTGGACAAGTGGACTCTGTGCTGGACAAGAACTGGAAAAGTGGACTCTGTACTGGACAAGAACTGGACAAGTGGACTCTGTACTGGACAAGAACTGGACAAGTGGACTCTGTACTGGACAAGAACTGGACAAGTGGACTCTGTGCTGGACAAGAACTGGAAAAGTGGACTCTGTACTGGACAAGAACTGGACAAGTGGACTCTGTACTGGACAAGAACTGGACAAGTGGACTCTGTACTGGACAAGAACTGGACAAGTGGACTCTGTGCTGGACAAGAACTGGACAAGTGGACTCTGTACTGTATCTTAGTTGGTGAGAGTGCTACATCGGAATTACACGGCCGCACGTTCAATTTCTGCCAGAGAGCCTATAGTTGCATGCTGGTTACGTCTAATAAATGGAAATTTCCATCTACAAAATCCTCCAGCAATTAGTTGTATCGAGTGAGATGCCCGCAAATCCTGATGTTTCAAAGATAGTACTAGATCAACTAAAACATTTTGCTGTGTTTTTTTAAGGTGGAGGTGTTTTAGCTCACACAATACTTGGTGTTAGTTTTAATGACAGAACAGGCGAAATAAAGTGAGTTTGTTATGCCAGGTTATTATAATTAATTTTACAGTAGAAATAACTGGTCGTCATATTCAAATAACCCCAACTTTGCAAGCTCAGAAGCCCTGGGGACGAGGTTGAAATAACCCCCAACCTTTGTATAGGCTTTCTTTCACAGAGCTGTTGTTACACAGCACGCACAATTCGGGACATCCTAGAAATCAAATGTTGTTCATATTCATTATTAAATATTACCAACAACAAACTAACAATCTCTTATTTCAGATTTTTAATACTTGATCCACATTATACTGGTGGTGAAGATATTAAGATTATATTAGATAAGGTGAGTACAGCTCGAATATATCAAGTGGTTAAACACAACGACACGTAGGATTAAATTATTTAAAAAAAACGACGGGTCGACTAGCCTGGGTATAACAATCACAAAGACTATAGCCTGCTCACAAAGCTACGACTTGTGTATTGGTCCTTCATTGAAATCGGATGCATCCATAATTATAGTAAAAAAAGTTCAATGTTTCAATATATGCAGTACTGTATTATATTGTACTTCGTATTGTACTGTGCTGTGCCATGTTGTGATGTAAAATTTGCTGTGCTTTGGTGTATAGTCTGTGTTCTAAGGTTGTCAGGTGCTTGGCATGTGTGCTGTGTTATATTGTACTTCGTATTGTACTGTGCTGTGCTATGTTTTGCTGTGATGTAAAAGTCGCTGTTCTCTGGTGTATAGTCTGTGTTCTAAGGTGCTTGGCATGTGTGCTGTCCTGTGGTGTTATATTGTACTTCGTATTGTACTGTGCTGTGCTATGTTTTGCTGTGATGTATCCAGTTGCTGTGTTCTGGTGGATAGTGTTGTAAGGTGTTTGGCATGTGTGCTGTCCTCTGCTGTGTTATTTTGCACTGTTTTAATTGTGCAATGTAATGTTGTACTGTTTTAACTGTGCTATGCCTGTGTCGTATTTTATAATATTATATACAAATCTTGCAGAAATGTTTTCTCGTAGATAAATTTCTTATATTAAGTGCTTGCATCTAATTAAAATAAACTGTCGAGCATTGTGATTGGCTGAAAATGCGAGCTTGGAGTTGACTCTTACGATGAGTGGAAAAAAGACTTAATGTTGTATACTTACTCACAATAGGGTTGGTGTGCTTGGAAGAATCATATGTTCTGGAATCAGCAAGCTCACTATAATCTCTGCATGCCTCAAAGACCTGTAAAAGTATAGTCACTCTCTTGGAGGTTGTTTATGTGGTGCCGGGCTGGCCCGATAACCGGGATGTTTCGTTTGATAAAGTTCTCATCACTTTTGATAAACATCCAAAATCACATTTCAAAGGGACATTGCTCTGTTTGATTCCAGGAACAGTATAAAGTTCATTCAAACGATCGTTTATGGTCAGGAAAATATTTTCGTCATACGATTCATCCCGCCTCGCCGGGTTGGCCTGGCTCGTATGAACATCCCCCTGGTTGTGAAGTATGTTAAGAAAAAAATGACAGAAAATATTTTAAAACAGTATTATAATGCCAGCCTCCTCTGCAGGCAACTCTGGGCCAATGACAGAATTACGTATACTTATAGAGAGATGGTGGAGGGATCATGAGAGATAATCGCAGTGGTGGAAAAAATGTACGAGCACGCGCGGTCGCAGGAAATTTTACACAGCTGCAGGAAATTAACCTATGGCTAGACTTGTAAACATACTCTGCAGGAATGTTTGATATTCAGGCTGTGCTCGCAGGAAGAAAATTATTTTTTCCATCCCTGGATAATTGTGCAGTGAGGAAATAAATGACTGCTACGACCCGTCACCACTACTCAATCTGCTAAATATGGCGTAAATTTTGTTTCCACCAATATTCTTGCAGAGGACGCTACCATATTCTACCATAATGCTTGTAAAGCTCCATTATACAATAATGCAATACCAACTTTATTTAACGTGGGTACACACATAACACATCGAGTGACCAGTGTCCTTCAATTATGCACTTTTAATTTCGATAAGATTCCAAAGATTCACATCAAAGTTAAAAAGACAAGAAAATTTAGAGTATAAATGTTAAGATATGTCACGATATAGTTTCGCACCAAATAAATACGATTTCTGACCGGCAAAGGCGGCAATATTTATTCAATTCGTATTTGGTCATTTTTCTTTATAACGACACAAAAAAATGCCGCGGCACCATTAGTTAGCTATCAATAAACTCGATATCTAACGCATGCTAACATGCTAAAGTTATCAGCCTTTTTTTGTTGTTACAACCTGTATTGCAAAACCTATCACCCTGATTTGGTTTCTTAATTTGAAAACTGCAGATATTATAGTGAGATATTTTTGTTTAATGTCGAGTGATCTATAAAGACATTCTGTCAACCGAAGATTGTTTTCTTTCAGTAAAATGAATTTTAAAATTTATTTCAATGAAAGAAATGGACCATTCATCTGTCAACACATGATATCTAGCATGTAATTGTTAAGTCTTATACTCTGCATGCTGATTATCAAATGCAAGCATAATAAATATATATCACATTGGTGCTAATACTCGTTATCAAGTCTGAAATTCTCTAATTTCTCTATAGAGTGTTTTTGATCAACACATCCAACTCGCATTAAGGATAAGATGTGTATAAAACAAACGCAGGCCTTCATATTAGGCGAAACCGAATTCAATAATTATTTTGTTATTTGTTTAAAAGATGAAAATGACATCCGCAGCTGTGGGTTTAATCCGTCGAAATATTAGACCAGTTTTTTTCCCAGAAATTCTTTCCCTTTCACGTTAAGATGTTTCAAAACCTTTCCTGGCTGTTTTTCGTTGATTTCTTCTTTATATTTTTTTAAAATTAATTCTCTTAAACGAAAGCGGCATCATATTGTTTTGGGCGTGTTTCCGTATTCATATTCCCATAGCATGACGTCATATTAACGTTGATATGTTTTTTCATATCAACGTTATGAAGTTTCATGGTATGGACGTAACACAGCAACATCAAAACCGTATACTCGATAATTTTTTGGGTGACGATAAAGATACGATAAACCCCCCAAGATAACCGCGGAGCCTGTTTAGAAGTGGTCATGAGGAACAACCATAAAACGTTTATTCATGGCCCCCTGCTCCACCCCATCTCCGCGGTTCCTGGGCCCGAATATAACCCCACATACGTGCTATGTCAATCTCGTTCCCCGAGCCTGCGATCCTCGGGAAGGAACGCGAGGCTCTGGGATAATCCGTTGCCGGAAGCCAGGAATCCTGGCTAAGATTGAACTACGCATTCCATTTCAACGGCCAATCAGATTCCTCCCTGAAACGGATTATCCCAGAGCCTCGCGTTCCTTCCCGAGGATCGCAGGCTCGGGGAACGAGATTGGTACTATGTCTATACATCAAGAATATTAATTTACGCCATTCTATACATTATAATGGACAAGAAATTTATTTTTACTAATGTTTTACAAGGGAACATTATTGACTGTTTTCGTTCACTGAATAATTTACAATTACTACTACATTTGTTTCCATATATAAGCTCCCACACGGAAATAAACCCTTTGAGTATAATCCAACAAATATTGCTTAGGAACGAACATAAGCCCATGGATTATAATCGGAGATTAACGATACTGAAATGTTTAATGGCAACTAATTTAAGGAGATAATAGTTCTAGTTCCCAGGGCCATAAAGACTGCCGTTGCTCAGTTCCCTCACAACTCAAACTTTCGTAAGGATCTTGAAGAATGTTGAAAACAGCCTCGGACATTTCCTGCAGTGAGTCGCTGTCAATATCTTGAAGTAAATTGACAGCTTCAAAATCTGGGGGCTGCATGAAGTAATGTGGCAGGTTTCTCTCTTGCAGGAAACTCAGTAGACGTTGTAATAAATCTTTAAAACGTTCAGAAATGTGTTCACTGGCCCACACGTTCACATCATTCAAGCGGTGTGTCTCGTGGAATAACACGTGTTTTAAATGATATGATGAAAGCATGCGCAGTCCTTCGTGAGTGTCCCTGATCTCAGTGAGAATACGTAACAACTGAACGCGACAACTTGGTGCCCCTAGAGCTCGAATACGGTTCTTTTCAGCAACAAAGAAACACCATTTCCAAACCATTTTCATTTTCCTGGCTGAATCATAAATGCACGGTCGACATACGACATGAGATGAACTCGGGCAGTCCTGTCTACCAGGGTCAAGACGTGAGTCGGGCAGGACAAATGCTGGCAATAAGTTGATCGTAATATCTTTATTTACAATTAACACGATTTCCGCTCCATCTTTCATGGAAATACTGCGTAATCTGTTAGGAAGTTTCTCTTTTGTACCTTTTCTGATATAACGATTTAGTACTTTCACAGCTTTGGCCACGTAATAACGTAAAATTTTATTGATTTTTTCAGCGGAAAGAAATCCATTCCTTGATAAACACTCTTTCCATAGGGTGCTTGATTCAGGTTGAACACGCAAACCTTGATCTTCGTCTTTTCTGAAGAACACTGCACTGCTTTTACCAAATGATAACTGGACTAACATATCAAGATGTATCGTTTGCTCTGCTTGCAAGCCATCGTAAGGTATTCCTTGACTCACAACACTCTTTCCTCGAAATCTGCTGTCCGCAGTTTCAATTTTTCGTAATATTTTGTCCGACACGGCTTGTGCAATATCTTCGCATATTTCTTTACGTTCAAGCCCCAAACGGACGCGGTTTTCGTAGAAGTTGTTCAAAGCTACAGCAAGAGGGTCGAGATCAGTTTGTGTTTGTTTGACTTTGTTTCTTCTGATTATTTCTGTTGTGGTATCAGCTTCGCATGACATTGTAAACTCTATAAACAGCTAGGAACTGTTCTTGTGTTGTATATGAAGTATACACAACAGAGGTCTCTCAAACAGATGTTACTTGCTCAAACCTCAGTTTCGTTCTAATGAACTCATCAGACAGCATAATTATAAAAGGATTGATTGATTGAGTGATAATTAAATTCATGCTTAATAAATCTGTTGTGTGTTCTTCTTATCTATGCCGCTCTTATTTCTTATTTTATCATTTGTTGCTTTATTTACATTACTCTTCATTGTAAGCTGACTCAAATATTGACCAACATTTCGCTAATTGCCAGTTTGAACTGTCTCTCTTCGTAATCTATACACAGAACTCACAGAGCTCAAGATAAATAGAAGACTAGACGCTCTTGAACTTTAACTATTTTTCATTTTTGTATTCCATATATGGGAAGCAAGACAAAGGAATGTATGTCGTCATTACCATGACTACACACAGCATAGTTTCTATGCTTTCAATAACTCTGACCTTGCTTCTGAAGCTTCTAGCTAAGACTGCACCTGTGAACTGGAACGATCTGTGTAAGACCACTAACAAACACAGCAAGTTATTTACTTTATTTGTAAAGTAAGAATAATGTAGGCATATGAAATTGTTTATCATTTTGTTAAAGTTTCTCTTCTCTTTCATAAACATGTTTTATGGCCATTATATTGCTTTTAATAACCCAGTATAGATATATCCTGATAAGCATAAGAATGGAAAGATGCCAATATTTTCATTTATCTTGCCGCGGTGAAAGGATATCGGCGATCATATCGGGTGCATATGTTCTTTTAAACGTCTTTATTCCTTCGTATAACAAAAATAATTTTGGTGGCAATGTTAACCATGTTATAGGCCCTCTGACAGGAATCGAACCTGTGGCCCTGCAATTCCGGTGCAGCGCTCTAACCAACTGAGCTAGAGAGAGAGATAGTTGTCGAGCTCTAACCAACTGAACTACAGAGAGAGAGAGAGAGTTGTCGAGCTCTAACTACAAGTTCATGAATAAATAGTAAATACAAAGGTGATGCCAAGGTGTATGGGTAAATATTAGGATTTTGGGCATCTCACTCGAACTTGTGGTTAGAGCTCAGTCTCAAAGCGTAGAGGAAAGAGCCTGGGAACGAGGTTGAGCTCAGTCTCTGAATTGTCTTTCTGTAGTTCAGTTGGTTCGAGCACTGCACCAGAATCGCGGGGCCACAGGTTCGATTCCTGCCAGAGGGCTTATTGTTGTATTTTTCGCAACTGCTCCTGGTGAGGTCTTGAATAAATGTATAAAATTCACACTCGAAATATCCATCTACAAAACCTTTCAACAATTAGTTTTATCGAGTGCACGAGATGCCCCAAAATCCTCATAGGACGAATGTCCTAATGAACCTATAAGGCTATGTGCCACGAAGTGCCACTGGCACTGTCTTAACTCTCAAAATACTTGGCATTTTTATCATTTTTTGGTGTTAAACGTGAACTGGTCCCTACAGAAAGATTCAAGATGGCGCCGTTTTAGGACCATATATGTATTACAGTATTAGAAGTTTTCGTTGTTTATACAATTTTGAAGTTGTTTTCCTTGCATTTTACAACAAAGCGTACTGAACTATATTTAAAGCGCACTGACATTGTAGCATGATACTCGATATATCTATTCTTTGCGTAATGAAACTCAAACATGGATGAGTAGTAGTCTAGTCCCAGGCCTTCCCGCGTTAGTGGATCGGTTTTGAACCGCACTTACTCCTTTTACTGTTCTGGAGCGCTCTGGATTTTCAGAACACCAAAAGAATCGAACCAAACACGGTCACATGACAGTTCTCAAATCTACTGGAACAGTAAATGGAGCAACCTGCCAGCGCTAGCGAAATTCGTAAACTTGGTCTTAGTCCTAATCAGGAAAGAATAATTACCCAGTGAACTGGTATAACCTTACACGAACTGCCAGTACATGTATTCCTTCCATATTGAAATATCTTCTCAAAGGCATATTGTTATACAAAAACATCGATGTAACTATGTAGAACCTAGAACCGCTCGAAGGGCAGAATGGTTCCAAGAAAGGCAGATTTAATTTGCGAATTGAGCTAGGTCTTATTAGGTCTTATCACTTCCATCCTCGTCCCCAGGCCCAGGGGACGAAGATGTCTCACTTCCCGTCTCTCTCCCAGTACGCCTTGTATCGCGGAAGCAAAATGCAGGAACTAGGCTGGGTCTGTACGTAACATTTCCGTATCGATCAGTTGGTTATAATGGAGGCGGATGTAGAGTGCCGGTCTAGAAACCCAAAAATGCGAGAATACCGCTCGAGAAAACGAATTTGTACAACAGTACTCTGCAGTGTCAGAATCATTCTCGTCCCCAGAGCCATTTTCACTCGGTCACTCGCAATCTCGTACCCAGAGCCATCGTTGATGGCTCTGGATACGAGATTGGGTCACTCGTTGAAAATTTGAGGCTCTGGGTTAAACGACTAAGGAGAGAGATCTGATTGGCTTCTCAGATAACTACTATTGACGACAAAATACGATGAAACTGCGTGACTGTGAATGGAAAAATTTTTGTGGGAGGACATTATTGCTGAGCGACATATGTTCATGTACCAAGCCAGTATCGTGTAACTCGGGCCTCATGCAGTAATAATGTTGGTTTCTTGAATGACCAACAGGATAACATTTGGCGAAAGTGAGTATATAGTTGAATTATTTTTTTAAAAATTTTGAATAGAATTGACCCATGAAATTATAAATTGCCTCAACTATATTCCATGCAAGATGTGAGAGAATTATACATGGATAGCTATCTGTTCTAACCATTTTTCCACCAGGTGCATGCCGAGCGTACCATCAGGGCTGGTAACACTATGTTCCATAGGCAGGAGTTCACATGGGACCAGTCACGGGGCTAGTCATGAGACCAGTCATGCATGGGACGCATGACACTGGAAGTATCGAGCACAGTAGCCCAACAAAATTTACAGTGAATAAATGGAGCAGACATGGGTTCCGAATTTGTCGGCTCTCGTATGACGGTAGTCCATGGGTACTTTCCATTAACACCAGACCGGTCAAATTGTTGAATGGAACACAAAACGTTTGGGCTTCGGACCTACCTGACCGGAAAATTTAGATATTTGAGAAACATAGACCAGATCTTTCCATTGATACAGAGACAAAAATTCGGGTCCAACCGGTCAGGCCATTAAATGAAAAGCGCCCATGATTCATACAAAACTTGGACGTTTTAACTTATGAAGAAGTACTGAAAGTAGTCGAAGTCTTGCTTTAGTTTAGATGAATATTTTCTGAAAGTTGTTCCACATTACTAAATTGAAGGGACATTTTGTTCAACTGACTTTGTTCATGTCTTACAAAGCTGTTTGACAATTCAGTTTCCATTTGAACAGTTTAACGTCAGAGTAACTTCTTTTAACGCCTTCTTTTCAGCCCTGGAATTTCCCAACACATGACTTTGAAACTTTTCCTGACATGTACGCAAAAACATGTACGAACCATAGAGATTATATATAACTTTAGAGGAGGCATCGATATTAAAATTTGGGAACGCGGCTAATTGGGAGCAAGTTTAGGTCCCAGATATAAAATCATGCTCTCATTGGCTAAATTGAAACTCCTCAACAATGGAAATACGAGTACACATCCGGGACTTGAATTTGCCCCCCAATAGCCGCATTCATTTTCTTTGCCCGATGTCAAGATTGCGATGCCTCCTCTAGTGTTATTTATAATCTCTATGGTACGAACCCTGATAGTCTGCAGGCATATTTAAACCACTGAGCTCCATATATACTGGAGCGAGAACTCAAATCCAAAAAGTGAAGCCAATATGGCGGAAATTGAAGAACTACTGGACGTCAGTTCCAGTCCATTGTTTTTCTATTGTTCGCGGTTAAATTTCGTATTTTGACATCGAATAATACTATGGTTTTATAAACTGATAACTTGTCCGATACGGTCCGTTAGATAAAACTGGAATACACGAATCGCGATATTCGATAGCGCATCCAAATGACGCGTTCTAAGTCGGGCAAAGCCCGAATTCAAAAGAAAACATGTAGCTGTGGCTGGATGATTTAAAATATGCGTATTAAAATATTCAAATATTCAGTCATGCATTCGTGTTGTATTGTAGTAATATGTAATCATGAATGCACAAGTGAACATTTCAAGACTTAAATACGCATATTTTAAATCAGTCACAGCTACATGTTTTTCTTTAACTGTGATTTTTGCCCGAATTTCGCGATTCGTGTATTAGCTGGAAAATGGTATTAAAGCTGTTTACGACCTTCATAGCTATTGGACGTCGATGTCCCGCATCTTACTTTTCTCATTGGGCGAATCACTCAAGTTCCCACTCCAGATACATACAGAGCTCACTGGTTTAACACGCACAATGTCCAGCAGAGTAGCGTCGTACTAACAAAACTAGTGAAACAATATATTACACTACAAGATAATATACTTGGACAAATGTTAACAAGATTTCTATCTACGTTTTTCCACATGTGCTCAAAATAATTCATAAAATGTCTGGATATTATACAATTTTACAATGGAAATTATGCTCCGTATGTTTCAATATTGATTTCCACATGTATGGAATATATTCGGCAGGCCTGCACACAAACGTCTGTTGAAACGTTGTCAAGAATTAAGCCAGCTCTGTTCAACTATTGCATTCACTTTTTTTTCATATTCTCGTCTGTTTTCTTGATAAAGTTGAGCTGCTAAACTGTTCGCAGGACTGTTGGGATTTGGTTCATCTAGTAAAGACTGAAAGTATAACATGGCTTTAGAAATTTGAAGCCACCTTTAAGGCCCCATTATACTATCAAAGTTTCTGTGATCACAGTAGGAATTTTGCATGGGTAAATTCTAAGTTTTGAAAGATTTGTAAGAAATGCTTGAGAGAACTGACTCACTGTTTAACACTGAATCTGTTCCCTCAAGCCTTTCTTACAAAACATTGAGAATGTAAACCAGCCTAGTTCACATGTGATATCCCTGCGATGTAGCCGCAGTTATTCCCGCAGAAAAGCTCTGACCACTGCCGATAGAGCGACGACAAATCGACGAACCAGTTATGCATGAATTCCCGCCAAAATCCTGAATGTCCTTATTTTGACATTTCTTGCCACTTCCCAATCCAGGTGATCTCATGTTCGTATTTTAGCCAATCAGCGCTCAGAAAGGGTTGTCCGAATAGAAATCCATTTTGATGTATTCAGTCAATTATATCTTTCGTTATTCTTTATGAAACTAGTTGAAATTTTGTAATTATATTTGGTTATGAGAACTATAGCTCTGACAAAAATATGGAATCGAAATAAAGTATATTACAGGAGATATTCAGTTGTTTTAATCATAAAATGGATTTTTATTTGACAATTAGTGCCAGTACTTTTCCGCGTATCAAGATCATCGGGATGTATTGTGGGATATATTGAGCTTATGATATGTCGCCAGTGCGTCAGGAATATCGGAAACTGTCGCAGGGACGACGCAGTACACCAGTTCCTGGGGATCATGTCGGTGACTACCAGTGACGAATCTATGATGAGTATCTTCATATATCTTAAGCCCACCGCAGGCAAAGTAGACTTGGTTCAAGTCCGTCTCAGGAGAAAATTAGGGAGAGACGGACTTGGGACATTCGCAGCATTTCGAATGTTACTTGCAAAAATTGGCGCGAAAATTTGTTGCCTCCGTAGGAAAAAGCCGACGGTAAAATTGGCGCGCTTGCAGGGTATCCAAATCCGTCTCTCCCTACTTTTCTCTTATATTTTCGCAACAAACTTTGTGTTTTGCAGCGTTGAACTTCATGAGAAAATTCTTGTCTCAACAATTTTCTGCAGTGATATCTCATTGGATCAAATCTTGGAACAAACTATCTAATAACTAGTACCTGTATTGATGTTAGTATTGCAGAAACATCATATGTGGGACTCCATCTATTCTGTAAAATATCTAGACAAATGCCACCATCTGCATAAACTAGAAATACAACATAATATATATTAACCATTAACCCCTAGTTATTACTTTACTCTGTCTAACACAAGACATTCATCAAGGGGAGAGTGCTGGTGTTCAATGGGTTAATCAGACTATCTACCCATGTGTCTACTGTAGTTAACCATTAATGTGCAAGATTCTTCCCTTGACAAATATAATTGCCTAGTGATGCACAGAGTAAAATAATAAAGTAGGGCACAGTTGGGGTCACATTGCACATGCAGTTTAATGGGTTAAACAGTGAGTGTGAGTACCAAAAAAAGCCCCCCCCCCCCCCTACTTACAGGTTTACTGACATCAACTTTGGTATAAAATGTAAAAAGGTTTCTAGATAGATGGATATAAGATTTACTTATTCAAGGTGGCCCCATTAGTAAAGACTGTTTTTCCTTGGTGCAGAGAAGTTAAGAGTGAGATTGGGGATGTGGATGACACCTTTGTAAAAGTCCGGGGGTCCTGAAATGGCATTTCGTACATTAATAATGAGAGTTGGTGTTTTTAATGAAATACATTGCTTCATAATTTCCTTTAAGACAAGGCACTTTAGTTACAATAACTGTATTTCTGTGACATACAGTAATGAGCTTAAATTTGCCTTTGATAATTTACATATAGAATTCTGCTCCGACTGATTCTGCCTTTTGTCCGCCGTACTTACATATGCGTACTATTTTGTATCCATATTGTGGGCAAAAGCCAAAATGTCGGGCCGTATATGCAGGAACAATAACACTCGATTATATATTCGATTCGCGATCTGTATGATTAATAATGTGCATTTAATAATACAATATTATATTTATTTATTGAAAAAATACTATGAAACTGCTATATGCGTGAGATTTACTAAACGTGGCGTGAGAGCGTGAGAGTGAAGCGAATTGTGTGAGACTCACGCCGAATGCGTGAGAGTTGAGAAGTCTGGATATTGTCAGCTATGCGGAGCTAGTCTGCTGCGTTTTTCAGTGGAAATGTTCCCAGCTTCACTCGAGACACAGGTTTTGCAACAAAAAGTGAAAAACTATTCGCTTGTATTCAGTATTTTAGCATGTGCTTGGCAGCTGCAGAAAAAAGTCTTATGGCCGATTATTTGCCGATTGTCAAGCAATAATCGTCCGATTACCGATTAATTGGCTCATCCCTAAACTACTGTTATGATTACATCTATTTTTCTGTGATACAAAGAGTTTAAACAACAACAACAAAGGTATATACTTAGATGAGTTAACAAGCAGATCACAAGGACATATGACTTTATAACATGCATATACTAGCATAAAAATGTAAACACATATAATTATATATTCATAACAACTACCTGAAAACTACAAGCACAACTTTGACATTTCAAGTGAAGGCCCTTTAGGCCCAGTTTAGTTAGACAGCGAACTTTTCATGCACCAAATCTAATGCATTAGAATTAAGTGTGATGCTGGGGCGGCATCTAAATCAATTAAGTTCGGCAGGTTTTGATTAAGTTCAACATGACTCGAAGATGCGACAAGACAAGTTGTATATGCGACACAGGTTCAACATTGATTTAGACGCCATGCTTTTCATGCGACGAACCTAATGCATAATTATGTTTTAACATTATAATATGATTATCATATATATTAGCATTGTAAATATGTCCAATATAGTGTCCTCACAATTTGGTACGGTACAATTAAGTTTGACGTCTAAATCAGTTTCCGATATTTTGCCGTATCTACGACAATTAGATTCGGCGGATGAAAAGTTCGCCGTCTAAACCGGGCCTTAGTGAGCGAAGGTCTGTCAGTAAATTTCCAGTAAAGGGCCTTCGCTCAAAACGTAGAAGTTCTGCATGTATTTTTCAGGTAGCTACATCAAGACTTGAGCTGCAGCCTGCATCCCTATCAACACGAAGCTTTCTCGCTACATAAAATTCTTTGTTTACAATGACGTAATTTTGGGATTTCAGTTGACAGGCAGGTATAACGAAAAACGGCTATTTTAATGTATTGACCGAGTTTAGAGACAGTTAAGACTCAAAAGATAAATTGCTGTTCAGTTTTTCTTGCTAAAACCAATGTTCGGATAGGAGAAAAATCGTCCACAAGTTGTTTGATTGCCCGTCATTTGGATGAAAAGTCACATGATAGTGAACAAAGAATAAGCTGGTCTTATATATTCCATTTTGACCATAAGGTGGCATATATATTTGAAATACTAGATATTTCACTGACACTTAATAATTCTTGTTTCAAGAAAAAATGTCCTCAATATTTATATACTCCTATTTTGAGTTGCAACATAGATGTGATTTTGAGGTCATGATGCAATTTGATACTTTGTCCCTAAAATATACTGTACAGTTACACATTCTTACCATTGGGATGGAACATCCTGGACAAAAATCTAACCGTTGGTGGTTTGTTGGGATATTCCTCTGTAAATTCTATTTGAAGTTTAAATGTACCTAAATGAAAACAATAATGAATGAAATGAAAGTTTTTAAAAATATTTTGAACATAGTTTTGGTTGAGCAATTAAGAATCCAAATGTTTTACTTACCATCCTCAAAAGGAGTATCTTGAGGTCTAAAAATTTAATAGAAGATACATCCAGTAAATAACAATTTTTCCCGACAATTTATTCTGAGAATATAAAATACTAATTTATTTTAAAAGGAAACAACTTTATCAGCAAATTTCTAATATATAATATATTTTACTCACCCAAAGATAACCGCATTCCATATCATAATATTATTTTCTGAAGGGGCGCCACTAACTCCCGCTGGAGGATCTTCTTGTAACCTAAAAGGAAACAACGATGAAAGATTTTCACTTAGTAACTTACACATAAACAAACATGGCCGCCAACAACGAATACCAAATATTTACAAGAACGAAAATAAGTAATATGTCTCTTATTTCATATGAAAGTATAGCGAAAATGAACAATATTCATTAGAAAAACCTTTTAAAATCCCTCATTAAACGTCTCCTAGCGGGAGTAGACATTTTCTCCCAATTTTTAAACTGATTTTTTTGTCTTCCTGAGAAGCAAAATTCTTCCAGATCTCGATGACGTATATAGTAATCCCCAGACCCCGCGTTAGGCTCGGCTGAATAAGATAATTTTAAATGATTAGACAAAAATATTTTCGTCAGTATGATGTAATAATTATGCAAATGTAAGTAAGTTTAATCCAGTGGTTTAATCACAAATTTAGGGGTCATTATCAACATTTTCTATTGACATTTTCGCAATCGTACAAACCGCACGCTGGGGTGAAGGGTTTAATGGCTGATGTATTTTTTTATGTAGAAGTGCTTACGTCACGTGATTTTCAAGTATCCTACAGTGCTCTGTGTATGTATTCAAAATTTCGTGACATAAGCACTTCTAAGGTCTATTTTTGAGATGATTTAAGAGTACGCTTAGGGAAAAGGAAGTATGTGTCTCGAAAAACAGAAACGTACTCTCTACACACTCTACACACGACCCATTAGATATTACAGGGGCGGCGCTAGACCTCTTTGAATGGGGGGGGCGGGGTGTAAGTGAATTTTGCCGAATTATCAAGGCAAATTTTGCCGAGTTATCAAGGCAAATTTTGCCGAGTCACTAAAACCACTAATTAATATTTCTTTTCCCAAAATTGTTGGCGAGCGGGGTTGTGGCGGCTCAACATCAAAAATTTTTTTGGACAACATAACATGTCAATTTTATTTTGTGTTTAATTAACCACCGTTGTTCGTTCCATTTTTCTCTAATTTTTTCGTAAATTGCTCCGCATTTTAAATATCTAAATCCATGTTTTGCCGACCACTTTATGAACATTTCTGTACAGTGCTTCCATTCTTTTTAATTGCTTAAATAGCGATTGTAAGCAACTTGCTGCTTCGCCATCTTGCTCTTCATATACTAACGCCAAACAAAAAATTCGTAAAATCTTTCTTAACAAGCTTAAAGCTTAACCTTACTAACCATATTGAAGATCTATTTTGTATAAATTAATTGTAAATTTGATTTACTAAATTTTAATTGTATTCATTACTAATTATTTTTTTCTCATAAGTAAATAGTCGTAATCTTTAATACTTTTTATATATCAAAATAGTGCGAGGGCCGTATGTTAGATAACTTTTATGGTCAATGGCCGTTAATACGTTTTCCCTCGTGAAATAAAGTTTCTATTCTATTCTATACTGGGGCCGGTGTTCCAACCGCAACCCCCCCCCCCCCTTTTAGCGCCGGCCTTAATTGCGGGGCCCTCTAAACACCGTCACTGGATCCAGAGTTCAGGATCTCATTTCAGTACTCAACTATTTTTCCCAATTTCAGTATGATGAGGATCTCCCAGAGAGGGGATGGGAGGGGCGGGGGGCTGTTGACCTGTGTTCCCTTGAAGATATTTCATAATTTGTTCCCCAGCTTATGCTGCTAAAGCCTGAACTTCCTAAAAAAGATTACATGTTCTCATGTTCCCAATGATTTTTCGGTTTTATTCCCGTGTTCCCATTGCAAAACATGCCTTGTTCCCCTGTTCCCTAGAAATCCCTGGGAGACCCTCTGCCATGATGGATGTTCAATAATTGTTTCGAATAAAGTCAATACCAGCCGCTTTGGTTCATTACGAGACTACGAAGAGTCAGTTAGCTTTGGTGAATCCGGCCATGGGTATCAAACCCAATTAAGCGCTTCTTCACCATACTGTTCTCTTTTCTAAACTTCATGATGCCTTCATTGCCTTGGTGTTTTTTTATGCATGTACCCTTTAAGTCTGTCCGTCCCTGCAAGTGGAAAATGCGTTTGTTGGCCGAGTAATTAAATGACATCACAAAGCGCATGCTGATTAATTACCCATCATCCTTTGTTCAGACGCAAGCGTATAAAAAGCTTTGACGTAATAATGAACTTCGTCATAATTAGCAGCTTGTGATATAGTACGTTGCGTCTCGCGTACTGAAAATTTCTGCATTTTTTAACGATGGCAAATGCTCAAAAGCAAAATAATTTGGCAATGATTCAAGCTGAGTTAAACGAAGCTTTGGAACGTTATGAGAAGGAAAAACGATTTTTTCGAGAACTGCTTAAAGTGAAACTCTTCCACGATAAAGACGCTCTTCGTTTTCTTATTGAAAGCACGAGGAAGGAGTTGAGAGAAAAAGAATTGAATGAAGAACGTCAAAAACAGTCCGAACTTGAACAGCAGAATCATGGTAGGAATCACCGAAGAAAATAATTCACAATTAAAACGAACAACCGATTCCCAATGCTTCTAGATTTGCAATAACTGCGCAATTCGAGTTACTTTTCGGTTGCTATGCAACTAACCCATCAACTGCGTACTGATGCCCGCGTGCTAATTTGTTGTATCTCATAGTGCACATGACACGAAAAACCTCGCATCTTGTAGTAGGTATGTCAACAAACCGTCAACAAAATTGTGTTCGCACTGCTTGTCTCAAGTTGTCAACACGTTTGGAACAAGCTGTTAACAACTTGTAACAACCTTGTTGTATTATCAGACATTTTGCAAGGTTGTTCCAATACAGTCATGATATAACAACATTGTCACAAACTTAATTGTTTCGTCTTGTGATGTCGTCAACTTTGTAACATTCTTGTTTTATCATGACTGTATCAAACTTGTTAGAACAACCTTGAACAACCACGAGTGACACTTGACACTTATACTTTTAAGTGTTTGTGGAGTATTAATGTTATATATTTGTTTAGTCATTGCTTCATAATAAGTTAACAGGTAAGATTTGAATTGGCCGACAGTAACGCTTGCTTCTGGAATTTGTGGTGGTAGGGAGTTATATATTCTGGGAGCTCTATTATAAAAACTGTTCTGAAAAGTAAAGTTAACTCTGGAAATTTTTAATGATACACTGTTAGTTGTAGCGCGCCTGGTGATACGATCGTTTGATACTATACTAATCTGAGAGTCATTCAATTTAATATTGCCTTAAAGAGAAACACCAAGTCCAGGTACTCGTGCCAGTAAGACAGAGGAAGTAAGCCTGTTTTCAATAGTCTGTCCTGGTAACTGGTTTCGGATCTAAATGGCAGCGATAGGATGAATCTCGTTGCACGTCTTTGAATCTTCTCGACTTCGAGGATTAAAGACAGTGGGGACCAGACTTGGGAGCTGTACGCAAAACGACTTTGTACTAACGTTTTATAAAGTGCGGTACGTGTACGAGGATCATGCATCTTAATGGAGGACCTTTTTACGAACCCAAGTATTCTGTTTGCTTTCGCACATACAGCAGAGACTTGTTGGTTCCATTTGAGATCTGCAGTGATGAGAACGCCAAAATCTTTTTGAACAAGCCTTTTACAGATGACCGTTGAGTTGGCTGAGTTATCGTTGTTGAGATGGTAAGATGACTGCACGGGTTTGAGATTCCTTGTTACCTTAAGAACTCCACACTTAGTTTCGTTAAGGTTCATGCGCCACGTCCGACACCAATAGCTGATTCCATCCAGATCACATTGGAGAGCTTTTACGTCATCTGTTGTTCTTATGGCATGATAACACTTGGTATCATCAGCGAACACTGAGAGCAACAGACGATGTGGTGGACTTTTCGGGCAGATCATTCACGTATACAAGAAACAATAAAGGGCCAAGGATTGAACCCTGAGGAACACCTGATAGAACGGGTATTGATCGGGATGTCTTTCCTAAAATGGTAACTTTTTGATGGCGATCTGTTAGATAGTTATGAAACCAGCTCAGCAAGTTTCCGCAAACTCCAAAATTACTAGTTTCTTGAGAAGCAGCTGTGATCAACCCTGTCAAACGCTTTGCGAAATCGAGATAAAGGACATCAGTTTGGATTCTTTTGTCGAGTAACTCACCAAACTCGTGAAGAACCTTTAGTAATTGTGATGTTGTAGACTTCCCCCTGAGAAATCCATATTGGAGGTTATGCAGTTCACTTGAGACATGGTTGATCAATTGGTCGTATATGCAACGCTCGAGGACGTTTGATACAATTGGAAGTAAAGATATGGGTCGATAATTTGAAACTTCGTTCTTTTGACCACCTTTAGGAATGGGTATTATATTAGAAACTTTCCATTCCGCTGGTACACTACCGGAAGTTAAGCTTCTATTGAAGAGATCAGCAAGGGATGAGGAAATGTATGGAGCACAGCAACTTTGCGGGAATTTTGTCTGGACCAGTAGCTTTGTTGTCATCGAGAGAGAGAAGAGCACGTTGAACGTCATCAGGTGAGATGTTGATATCGCTTATGGGGTCACAGAAGGTAGTGGTGTACGCTGGATGGGCATCATAATCTTCTTGGGAAAGAGGTTTATTAAACATAGAAAAGAAGAAGTTGTTTAAGAGATTTGCAGCGTCTTCAGGATTTTCAGCTGTGACAGTTCCTTCATCACGCTTCCAACTCATTTTGTTTGGTACACTAAATGAATTTGATGTAATATATCAACAACGAGAGCGAGTGTTTCACCGGGTGAGACACGAGCTCGAGTTGTTTATATGGCTTCTCAAATGAATCGAGGCGTAACAGAATCGTTTTGTGTTTGATTTCATAAGAACAGGCAAAGCCTGAAAGAACTCTTTTCGCTTACGTGATATCAGCGACTTACAGGAACGGTGAAGGTTTCTGAAATTTTCCCAGAGGTTGTTACTGCAGCCGCTCTTTTTGGCTTTTCTTCTAGCCGTTTCCTTTTTGTGTAATAGGTGATGCGTTTCACTGTCTAGCCAAGGGGGAGATGTTCGTTTTTTTAATAATTTTAGTCGGGATATGACGATGTACAGCATCCATGAAACGATCACACCAACGTTCCCAGTCCTTGTTGATATCATCAGGATTACTATTTGTGCTCATGTTATTGATTTGATTTAAGGCTATTGATGGTGACAGGTTTATTGTTAAAAGAGTTCTGTATAAACCCGGCCAGTCTACTAAGCGGTAATCTAGGACAGATCGCTTGTCACTGGAAGATAACTTGGCAAACAGGTTGAAATCAAAGAACAGAAGATTATGATCGCTGAAGAGGTCCATTGATTGTGATGATATGCACGATACATCAATAACACACTCAGGAATGTTGGTCAGGATTAGATCAAGGATATTGTTCAGCCTCGTCGACCTTGTCGGATACGGGTTAACTTGTTCAAGAAAAAAGTCGTATACGAGATCTCGAAATTCAATGGAGCTGGGAGAAACATTCTGAGAAGTAAGGTCAGAGTTCCAAGTCAATTCAGGAAAATTAAAGTCTCCAGTTATGAAAACTTTTTCATATTTTTCAGCCACTTGAAGGAACAACGTAAAATAACTAAGCCATTCATTAAGATCACCGTTCGGTGGTCTGTAGCAGACACACAGCAGGCATTTATTTGGTGAATGTGATTCAATTTCTATGGAGAGAATTTCTAAATGGTCAGATCAAGATCCCGAGTTAACTCTGTTATATTGAATTCCTTCACGCAATGCTAGCAAAACACCTCATCCACGTTTGTTGGATGGCCGATCTTTTCTGATGATGTTGTAACCAGAAGATGTTGTAACCTTGTAACAAGCCAGATAATATCAAGTTGTTAACAACTTGTTCCAAACTTGTTACCACAACTAAGACCAATTAAGCAGTGCGAACACAACTTGTCGACAGCTTGTGAACAGATCTGTAACAAACTTGTGCGTTTTTACCTGTGTAATACTTGTGCATTCATGTTAACATGTAACACGAAATGACTGAAAAGAGAGATTAGTTAGCCGTGATAACTTTAACTTTTTATTGCAGAGGTGAAATATCTTGGATTTGTATTGGATTTTTCAGTAAAACAAGAAAAATCTAAAGACATTGATGTGAAACACAGCATGAGTGATGGTGGATGCCATGACGAACGTTGTGAAGAAGATAACGTTCAGTTGAGAACGAAGTCCACCAAATTTCATCGGCGACTTGTTAATCTATTCTGCTGTTGTTTTAAAAATCAAGAAAAGGAGGGTTGAAATGAAATCAAGATACGAACAACAACGGAGAAAAGCATAATATTTCATTTATAGTTTGCCCTGTATTCACTTCATGTTTTAAGTTATTTTCACATAACGAGGTACATTGTTCTGTTAGTGTCTTGCGATTCCATATAAAAGTTCAAAGATAAAATAAATTTTAAAAAGCAACTTGAATTGTGTGTTTTGATTTATCAATGGCAGCAGGATTAGCATAGCAACAACATACGTAATTACCCAATCATCAAATGGTAATTTTTATACCATATCACGTGATCATGATCAAGCAATAGACCACTTCAGAGTTACGATCAGTGGTTACGATCCACAGCAACGCCAGGTCGAGGCTCAGTGTTAAATCAATACAAAACATTACATGCAATTTCACACGGAGCCTCGTTCTCAAGATAGTCTTTCTACACGATGGAGCCCATGCAGCATTGATGAAGCCTAATTTGGAAATGGTCTATTAAATGACCACAATTTATTAAGGTGTTTTATAATATACATTTAAATTAAATATAATCTAGTTATCTACCGTATTTGAGCTATAAGTAGATCAGCTCATATGCTGTAGTGGTTTCGTACGATGGTACTGTTAAATTTCATTCTACAATTCATGGTCAGTAAAACAGTTTATAGTCTTGTAAAAAAAAATTAAAAAAATTGTATAAACATTGGATACTTTACCTTTCATTTTCGATCCTTTAGACTCCAGAGTTTATACTTTATGGGACGACCATTGGAAAATTAGTGATAGTGGAGCGAGGGGATTTTTAGCTTGCATAAATTATTTCGGCAGTCTGCTTGTGCGAGAAATTTGTGCAAAATTTTAAAGGTATTTTTCTTTGCTTTCTTTTTTGCACGATTTTTTTCTTTCGTTTTCCTTCGGGCGGAACCCCACCCGGCCATGATTTATCTAATGGTTTGCCCCTTTTATCTCTTTCCCTCCAATAATGATCAGTTTCGTTTAAGGGCATGGGCCGACATGCAGTGCGGCCTTGCATTGAAAAAGGTGAACATCAGAGTAATAGCACACGATTTATTTTCAAGTCGATTTTCCAAATATTTGATTTACAAGAACGGCATGATTGTATGATGTACATGTGCGAGGGAAAATAGTTTTAAAAAACATAGATTGCGTCATGATTTGAGACAGTTTAAAGACCTTTCATTAATTAACTATTTCTATAAGCCCTGATGAATTCCGGTTTTCATGTATTTAATTACTCGTTTGAAAACTAGCTTATAGCGGCCTAAATGATGATTCATTCGGTCAGTTATGAATAAATTCTATATATTTTCCAGCAATTTATATTGCTGAAGTTTCCTACTGTAAAAGACAATTTAGATTTCATGGACAAGCAGCGTTTAAAAAGTGCTCGTAGTTGAATGTTATCATTTACGCTTTCTTGATGTAACTATCGTGTATCGATCGTATTTGGACAAGGCTTGAAATTTTCTGCACTATCCAATTGGATACCACCAACTTCTGGTATGCACACAACATTTAGCACTCCTCACTCCATATTCATAGCATTCCACACATTTGGATAATGGCATTGAACTGAATAGAACTAGAACGCTACCTCCAACTGGAAATTTGAAGCCAAATTTGAAGACCACTCCCAGTCTTTTCATGCATACGAAGAGCGTTTTAATCAGTCAATCATGTCATAAACACGCGTGATCTTACCTCCACACACGCGTGTCTGGAGGTAAAATTTGGCTTCAAGAAAAAGATAGGCAGTCAGAAGGTAGCGGTTCCAGTTCTATTCGTAATAGACAATATTCCAGTTAGCAGTAGCAAAACATTGAAGCTAAATTCAAACTTCAGTAGTGGTTTTCTTTCTTTGGGAGAAAGCCTGTGGAGGAGAGAATTTTTTAATTATCCTAATGGATACTTAATTCTTGATATCGGGATATCCAGTATTTTTTTATATCCTGTGAATATCGGGATACTGCAAGATTTCAAGCCCTGTTTGGATATGTATAACTCAGCTTCTTGCAATCTTTCTATGCGAGCATTTAAAAGCGTAAAACAATCTTCAAGTTGTTTTCTAGATTGCTTTCAGCTCAGCTAGCAAAGCATCAGCGTCGTCTTCATTCTTTTTCTTATTCAAAGCTCCGGCAAGAACGTCGGCTCCCGGCATTTTGACAGCTCCAGCAGGAGGTTTCTTGACTGGAGCACTTTCTTTCTCCTCCGGATCTTCTTTCACATTCTTCATTGCTTCTTCTTTCAATAATTGTTGAACTGGAATGTTTGTTCGTGTTCCTGAACGTTGCAGTGCTGCTGGACCTTGGCGCGCTGAAACATACAAGCACTTTTAAGAAATGTGGTAAACCAAGGTACAGGGGGGAGTAATAAAATCATCTTCTGTAGCTGAAAGCTGAATTGTGAAGGACGCAGCATGCACAAACGTGACCGACTCGAATGCGGTGGAGAAACGGTGAAAGGTTTAGTTATTGGAGGTAAACCACAGTATCCTCAAATTTGTGCAGGGAAGGCACCCACCCTAAGTGATACCCTAACCCCAACCCACAGTAGCAGAGGTAAAAGTATTGTGCCATTCGTTAAATAACCTGAAATATTATAAAAATACCTTATTATATGAAGCAATTTTGATGAAGATATTATTATTTCATTGTCCTCTCATCAAACTGGACTTTTTAAATTTATTAACTAAACCTTGTTTCCTTGTAGGTTTACATAGAAACGTAATTTTTGAAACACCACGTTATGGCACGCAACTGTAATAAGTGTAATTGTGCTGTTTCCACAAAGCAAAAAATCAGAGCTTGTGTTATCCAGAACTTGAGCCACAAGCGCAGAAGATACAAGGCTGCTTAGTTAATTCAATGTAGCTCATTTCCCTTACCTTTTCTCTTTTTCCTGGCAGGTCTCGATGGATCTCTGAACGCACTTCCTGTCTTCAAAGCTTCCATTAAACCATCAAGAACACCTTCTTGATTCTCGGAAGATATATCTACTAAATTTTTACGGTTCGCTTTCTCTTCTTCGATTCTCTTCTTTCTTTCTTTCTCCATTTCCTGCAATAAAAATACAACATGTTTCACCAGAGGTGGTTTCTTTTCTGGGAATCTGGCGGCTCAATATTTTCTGCAAACGATTACAATATATTGGGAAAAAGAACAAAATTGTCGTTTTTGACTGCCCTTTTTAACTTACGTGGACTATATAGATTAAGATGTGTTGTCGTATGAAGCAATATGTCTTTTAATACTGATAAGGCACATGCATAAGATAATCTCGAAGTAGTCATAGTAATTACAGCCTCACAAGATTAGAAACAAATTACTACTGCAAGCTATACCAATATTTTCATTCTACACAGTTCCGCTGTAGTTCAGGTATCGAGTTAGGTATTCAATCATTTCTATAATTTTGATATTCAATCAGTGTAATTTTGAGAATTATCTATCAAACATAAAAATGTCTGTGAAAATTTCATCCAAAATGTAGATCCCCCAAATTTCTGGGAACAAGGTTTCCACGTTCCGATACTTTTTCCACCTTTGTGTGTCATATATCCCATAACAACAATATCGTTGGCGACATATGTCTGCTACGTTGCCAACAACACCGCCATCGCGTAATGTTGGCCCACACACGTTTCTAACGTTACACGCAGTACCACATAACAACATAATTCAAAAACCTATTTCTCTATTTCAGAAACATTTGTACGTGTCTGTAGGTGGGTCTGTGTGCCTGTCCGATAACTTAAAAATATCAGACGTGTCAAGAAGAAAAGTTGTGGATCTATAAAGGACATTGCCCAAGGACAAATTGATTCAATTTTTGTTAAATTTGGATGAAAATTGAATGAGAAATTAGCAAAAGTTTGTCTTGCTTTGCCGGGCAGAGTAAACTGAATGCATAATTAGATAACATATAATTTGGTCTATAGATTACTCAGTTGTGAGTACATGACCAAAAGTTATGTGTAAGCTGTATTGATATGTTTCTTGTGATATGCTCGATAAAGAGGGAAACGAGTGGTAATGAAGAAATCTGTCACTTTGTATAAATGTGGGACTACATACACTGACCATTCAAGATTTGAACACAAACTTACAGCTCTTTCTTTTGCTTTCCTTTCTTTTTCTTCGCGTTCTTTTCTTTTGATGTTGTCTTTCTTGGCATTTTCATATTGTTGTAAAAATGAACTTAAATCACCAAAGAAATCTTCCAGTTGTGTTTTCTTCAAATCAAAACAATAATATTCTGCTAACTCTTTAAACATATTTGTCATATTGTTAAACATTTCCACCAATAATTCACATTGTTCTTTTGCTTGATTGTGAAATTCCGACATGACTTCTTTAAATTTATCCTCGGGGTCATTTGAATCTTCAGCACTTTCTAATTCTCGCTCCAGTTTTGATAAATTTGTTTCCATACTCTTGGTCGCCTTCTGAAGTACGTCTTGAGAAACTAGAAATAACAAATACAAATGTTTTTGTTGTATACTTTGCAGATACTCAACTTCGTGTGGCATGAAATGTTGACAAGAGCTAGGAACAGTAGTAATTATAAACCAATCAGCCTTGTACATACGTAAAAATCTCACTACTTGTTACTTGTCGACAAGATGTGTTCGCAACAGGCTTGTAGCAAGCTTGTGAACAAGTCGTAACAACGCTGTTATTTTATCAAGTTGCTACAAGGTTGTCACTCACAACTTGTTGAAATGCAGGACGATAACATGTTTGTTGGAACAAGTCTGTTGAGCTCAACAACCTTGTAGCAAGCAGTGAGAACCAACAGCATTGCTAGCAGGTTTGTTACAACTTGTGCGTTTTTACGTGTGTACCGCCTGGGTTTACGTGTGAATCGCAGTGCCCGAATTACTTCGAATTGCATAACAGAAGCGCCTGAGTATACTTTCTTCCCATACCTCTCGCCGCAGCTTCGACGTGATTGATTTCCGTCTCAAAGCCAGCAACCTCAGGATAATTGGCTGATATTACTTCTTCCAGGAAATGTAACAAAGTAAGTTTACCATCCACCGATTTGGTCGAACTTAACTAGAAAACACATGATGAACATTGAAGAACTAAGTACCTCCTGGGCATTAGTAAGTATTCCCTAGGCATTAAGTTGCAATCATTTTGCACATCTTGTTTTGGAAATTTATTCTAATTCTTTGTTTAACTGACAACAAGCGACTAGTCTAGCCTTGTTGCAAACATCTCTAAAAAGTCGATTTTCCAAATTATTTTTCGCCATCGTTTCGTGTGAATTCGGCTAGTGAGAAACCGGCTTTATATTACGAGGTTTTTCTGTTAACAGGGTTACCTGTGCGTTGCGGGCAGGCGAAAAATTGATTTCTAAAAATAGACAGAGATGCCTGCAGTAGAGGCTAAATTGACTGATGCATGACGGGATTTTTTGTTCCAATGATACTTTTCCTGTTTAACATTACACGTTATAATTTCAGTTCACTACCAAGAGACGTCCGCCAATTTGATTGCGTGCTAACACCTTACCTTGGTTAAAAATGCCATTTCAAAGCCAATGGTTTGCTCATTCTTGGAGCCAGCGTTCATGTAATTTCCCACCATTAAAACAACCTGAAACAAATCGTCCAGTTTAAAAATGTACAGACTAAAACATTGCAATTATATCGTAAATTTAAGAATACAAATATTGAAAACAAGAACAATGCAGTGGTTTATATTACCTCTAAAAACTTAGCAAACTTTTGACTCGATCGCACTTCCCGGCATGCAGCAGTAGCATTCACAATATTCTGTAATTCAAATATGATTTGATATTAAATATATATAATAACATGATCATTCAGAACATGAATATTAACAAAATTCCAACTGCTGTATGAATGTCTTGATTGCATCATTAATACACATATTCATTGTCAGACTTTATTAAGGCCAATTTGCACTACACAACTTTTGAATAAAACTGTCGCAAGCAACCTGCTTACAACTTGATGTCATGAGACTTTGCGAAGGTTAGCGAGGGGAAAGCATCCATTGCTTTTGGTAATGGGGCTTAATACGGTATGGAGAATAGTACAGACGTTTATCAAAGAAAATCTTACAGGTTTAGTATCTTGAACATCTTCAGGGAATTTCTTCTTCACCAACAACAATTTTAACCGAGATTCCAGTTTCTTTACGCTGCTTATCTGTCGAGAGAATTTGATATTTTCACTGCCGTGGCAATTTATAAAGAGTGGCCGCAAAACATGTCGTTTTCAAACATGTCGTTTTCTCAGAGTTTTCCTTTCCCACCTGGGACGGCTTGTATAAAATTCATGCCAAACTCCATGCACTTTGGGTACACACGTAAAAATCTCAGAATTTGTCAACACGTTGTAACAATGCTGTTATTATTTTAATCAAGTTGCTACAAGGTTGTCACTGACAACTTGTTGACAAATTGTTAAATTGCAGAACGATAACAAGTCTGTCGAGTGTTAATTTTGTCGTCGTAAGCCGACCGAAACTTTCCAGGATTTATTTCAGAACTAACATCAGGGATGTATATATTCATACCGCTCCTGACCTAACATTGTACACGAGAAATGCAGCCTGATCTAAAGAATTTTATTTTTAAATTTGAATAAAACATTAACAGAATATAATCAAGTAAAAGCTTACAACGCAAGCGAATTGTTCTGCTTCATTAAGGTCATCATATTGATCTTTCATCCCACCAATCTTTTTTAACTAAAATAAAATATATCTTAATAGGGTAGAGTAAGGTAGAGTAGAGTAAGATTGGGTAGTGTAGAGTAGGGTAGGGTCCCTAGGGTAGGGTAGGGTAGGGTAGGGTAGGTTAAGGTATTATCCCATACCTGTGTCAAAAGCGGCTTTCTGATTGGTTTAGAGCTGGTGAGTTTGTCATCGAGCTCACCTGCTTTTTGCCCGAACTCACCTGCTTTTCGCCGAACTCACCCGCGAAACTGCTCACGTTGCAACTTGCAATACAATAACAAATATGGCGGACAAGATTTAGCCGATAAACCTAGGCTTTATAGAACTTTTTTCGGTGACTAACTTGCTGAGACTGATGAAAAACCAAAGAAAAATGCAGTAAAGGTAATCTAGATGTAGATAAAGAATTATTTTCTTGCCCAGTGATTTTTTTGGCAGGGAAAATGTTGACAAAACATCGACGAATATATCTCGAAGAGCTACAAATGTGTGTATGGCTCGGTGTATGGGATAAAAACCAAACGTACTTGCAGGTTCGGTGAGTCCGGGATTGGACGCACCTCGGGTGGCTGGAGGTTTCCCGAACTCACCTCGTTTCGCTCGGTAGGGTAGGGTAGGGTAGGGTAGGGTAGAGCAGAGCAGGGTAGAGTAGAGAAGGGCAGGGCAGGGCAGGGCAGGGCAGGGTAGGGAAGGTCTAGAGTAGAACACAGTAGAGTAGATTACAGCACAGTAGAGTGGAGTCCAGTGAACGCATGGAATTGACAGAGGTTGCATGTGGGAATGCAGAACAGACTGGGCACAGCCCGCTGGGCACATAGAAAATATCAGACAAACCTCAGCACCACTGGGAAGATATCTCAACAATGATTCAATAGCGCTCTCCTTCAAATTTTCATCACAATTCAGAATCATCTTTTTAAAATTTTCAAAAGATGTTTTCTGCGAACCCAAAAAGATGGCTGAAAACAAAATACATTCAATTCACGTCACAGCACAAATCACGACGAAAACATCAATATAGTTCAGAAAAGGTTCAGCCTCATAACTCACATAGATTTTGTGCACTTTTCGGATCGAGAACTTTCAATGCCTTGGCTTTCTTCTTGCTGCTCTTGGCAGGAGCGTTTCCACCTTCGACTTTATCTTTAGTTTTTGCTGTTCTGGCGGCAAATGTTTTAGACAGAGCTTCAAATACTTCATCTTTTTCAAACTTATCTTCTTTAGCCTTCGCCCAAAACGAATTCTCTTTAATATTATTGTTCTTGATCTACGAGAGAAAATATAACCACATGTAATGCTTGCTATGATTAAAATCGGAAATGATTTCGAAACACTTTTAGTCCCCAACGGGAAAACTCTTGAAATGCAAAAAAGGCAAGATCAAATCTAATTCTTGTCAACCTCGTTCCCAGGTTCTCCCTTGCACAAGAGCGAAGAGCCTGGGAACGGGGTTGGCTCTTTCCTCAGGACAAACTATCGTGGCAATCAACTTGCAAGTTTGCGTTCCAATTGACATAAATCACTATTAATGATTATAATATATTTCTAATTTCATCCGTCAATGGAAACGAGCAAAATAAATCTTCTCTTTTCTAAATTTAAGGAAAATGTATTACAAGAAATAATCATTGATGTATTTTATTATTAAGTTCCGTGATATTAAAAACCTCTGAAAACGTTTTGGGTGGTTCGTTCAAAGGCAACGGCCGATTTTTCAAACTGTATGTAAAAAAAACCCTTACAAAACCTGTGGTATCATCTTAACAATACCGATATACACAGGGCAGTAGCTAGCATTTATAGTTTGGGGGGGGGTGTAGGCCAAAAATTTCCGAATGACGAAAAAAAATTCCGAATATTTCATGGCATACGAAGCCACGAAGGTGTTTGTTATCTGGAAAATGAAGACGCAATTTACAAACAAAAATACGCATATTTTACGCACAGACATATTACAGAAGCATGCAGTGCCGTAGGAAGCTCTTTTTGATTGGGAGGCAGAGATCGAGGGCCGAAGGCCCGAGAAAATTTTTAAATTTAGAGTCTCTGAACGGGGGGAAGTCTTGACAGAATTCTGATGGTCAGAAAACAGCGTTTTAGTATGTGGAAATTTACAATTTGCTTGCAATTTAGTAGTACTAAATGGGCGAAGGCGTATTTAATTAACTATATCAGTTGGAGAGGACCGAGAAGTTGCAGGAAAGTATTGGTAATATGATTCTTTGCAGTTTGCCATGGATAATGTGGCCGCTTAAAATTAATCAATTGTCAGTATTTTAAAGGTATATTAGTCTGCATGATTTTGAAAAAAGAATGATTATTAGCGAATTATTGGGAGGGCTGCATCACCCCCAGCCCCCCGCCCGTTGCTACGGCCCGAGAAGTAATAAACCGACGATTTGTTAAATGTTATCCATGTAAATGCCATGATTTCGTAAATCAGTTTATACTGACAATACAATTATTAATTATATTATATATATTTCCTCTATTTAACAACTAAAATTTTGTTATACTATTATTGCCGTAATTTTCCGAATGGCCAACCAGGGGAGGTTAGCCACCCCCCAATACCCCCCCCCCCTCGCTACGGCCCTGGATATACAACTTGGTGGATGGCGGTGTTAGTGTGTTACATTAGTGCATATGTGATCACGATGTAATATTATTCATCAACACACAGTCATTCAAGGATTGTATCTTCGCAAAGAAATAATAGAATGAATTTATATTTCGTTCAGTTTGTAGAGTAACATGCTGATAGTCTCGCAATCTCGCATACTAGACAAACTCGAAAATAATGAACTACCTTGGTCCAGTTAGCTCGTTTAGTTTGAACTTCAGGTTTATATTTCTTCTTTGGCTCAACTCCTGGTGGCAACTGTGGACCTCTGTTAAACATTGGCATTCCAGGAGGCGGTGGAGGACCTGCACCAGGGGGAGGGGGTGGTCCACCACCAGGGGGTGGGGGTGGGGGAGGAACGCCACCAGGAAGAGGTGGGGGAGGTGGAACTCCACCTCCACCAGGGAGAGGTGGAGGAGGAGGAACTCCACCAGGGAGGGGTGGGGGAGGTGGAATTCCCCCTGGTGGTGGGGGTGGAGGAGGTACCCCTCCTGGGAGGGGTGGGGGAGGTGGTACTCCACCAGGGGGTGGCGGCGGCGGTGGAACTCCTCCAGGTGGAGGGGGAGGTGGTGGTACCCCACCAGGGAGTGGGGGTGGGGGAGGTACACCTCCTGGTGGTACTGGCGGTTGTGGTACTCCTGATGACAAAAAATGAATATTATTATAGAAAACGAAATTACTCAAATACATAACAAATCAAATTATTACACAAATACATAACAAATGAAAAATAGAATCTGCAACCAATATAAACTTAATTTTCACTCAAGCCGTTGTTTATCTTCGTTCAATTTTTGCATAGTATGTAATCTCTGTAGGGTGAACGCGAAATGTCAAAGAGTGGCAATATATCCAGTGTGAGCACTCTCAAAACACATTAAGAAATAATGATTGGAAATTTCGCTTCATGTACGATTAGTACTGCGTTAGTTTCGTCCTTCTCGTGTAAGTGAACTTTTAACTTGGTTTTTTAAAATTTAAAACAAATTTTAACTGCAATCAAAGATTCAATAATTAAGGTTATACACTTATACTGTGATAATATTTGCAATAATTTTTTGTAATAAAATTTAAAATTGTGGTATCCAAACACTATTAGGTATAATTATGTTAATCAAGTGATCATATTTATAAATATTCAATAAATTATTTTATTAATTCAACGAATACCGTTATTATATTCAGAAGAAGATGGAATCAAAGTGTTTGTACTGGATGACAGCTCGCTGTCAGAAGGATTGAGTGAAGGAACCAGCATCAATTTAGCTTTCTGTATGGGAGGACACTTCAGTTGTGCTACAGAGCTCATCATTACAAGTTCTTCATCTGATGAATCTGAGGGTTTAGCACTGAGTTTTGACCGTGATCTACGTAGAGATCTGGCGGACTGGATCGAGCTAGTGGAGGGGATTGAGGAGAGTGACGTAATGTCAAGATCGTAAAGCGAGGATGAAGTAAAGGAATGGGGACGAGATTGACGAGAACAAGAAAGTGGATATTTCTCTTCATATAAACTATCAGTTGAAGATTGTCTGAGTGACTGCGAGGACCATAAGGATTCTAAAACTCTCCCCACACTAACTGAAAAACAAAGTTTAAGTATTGTTAAATTTTAGTCTTTTCATTTATGTAATTATAAACGAATTAAATTAAGTCTGATTTATAGTTATATTTAGATATGGTTAATTACACTGTTACTCATTATATCATTTATAAATAATTAGGTTATTCGTATTTTAACACTTTCGGTTAAATGGTTAATCAGTTTATACAGTATATTTTGACAGTGTGTTAGAATGTCAAATGAATACAATACATACTATTTTAGTGACGATTAAACAGGTCTTAAAATGAACGTCGATTAAATAACTGTATTTAATTATTGGTTAATTAAGATATATATTAGAAGCGAAACGAATCACACGGATCAAAACGTGATGTGATTTCTCACGCGGCTCAAATAGGCTGCAGATTTCTACGACAACTTAGGCGGGTCGTGTGCTTGATTTACACAGTACAACTCAAGTTGGAAGCAGGTTACATGCGACAGTTTTAGGCAAAAGTTGTGCAGTGTAAATCTGCCTTCACGAATTTATTTAATAGGCAGCGTGATTTCTCGCACAGCTCATCCCCACCGTGGATTTGTGACGAATTTCAAGTGAATCAATCATAAATGAAAAAAGTGTTTATCACAATAGGTTGAATGTTGAGTAAGATGACTTACCGGCTGGTGCTGGCGCTGTTATCACAACAGGAGGTCTCTGAAAAATTTAAAAAATAATCAGGTTATGATGGGAGGACACTACTGGCCATACCTTGGCCATACCTGGGTTTTATCAAAGTTTTTTACTTTGTTTTGAAATGGTAATATATACAGTACATATAAATATATATATATATATATATATATATATATATATATATATATATATATATATATATATATATATATATATATATATATATATATATATATATATATATATATATATATATATATATATATGAAGGGTCTTGTAGATACAAATTGTCGAGTGGAATTTTTTATACATTTACTACACCTAACCAGGAACAGCTGCGAAAAATGCAACTATAGGTCCCTGGTAGGAATCGAACCTGTGGCCCTGTGATTCCAGTGTAGCGCTCTAACCAACTGAGCTACAGAGACCAGTTGTCGAGCTCTAACCAACTGAGCTACAGAGACCAGTTGTCGAGCTCTAACCACAAGTTCATGTATATAGGATACTGTCATGTGTAGGTTGTGTAAATATCAAGATTTTGTTGGCAACAAAATTCTTTCATACTCACCGCCTTTAATTCTGCATTTTCTTTTTCAAGCCCAGCAACTTTCTTTTCCAGGTTACTTGTCGCTAAATTGGATTTTGCCTCCGTTTCCTGTCGTAGTGTCGTCTCTAGCTCAAGCTGAAAAAACACTAACTATTAACCAGATTCTACCTTACTACAGTGTTCCATGCATAAGCTGGCTCCCATGTAGTCGCTAATTCCTTTAAGATCTATAGGCGAGTGCTCGTGGGACGACGGTAAATTCCCCTATCAGACTATCATTTCTTCACTCGTTTTTTATTGATGTAACAAAATAACGACAGGAGACGGGACTGATACAGTAACTGTATCATGTGTCTGTACTTATCAAATTGTAGCACCAGCCTTTTCTGGAGCCATTTCAATTGGGATTATACTGTACCTGTGTCATTATTTCTGTGTGAAGGTATACTAGAGAGGTTAATTATAGCACTATATTTGAGTATAGTATTTTGTATTTCACATTAATGTTCGGTATAGCCATATAAACAGAAGTAAGTCACAATACATCTATGAAAACAAACCTTTGTCTCCAGTGAAGTCGCTTTCTCCTCAAATTCGATCAATTTAGCTTTATCCACCATATTATCTAAAGAACAAATAAATGTATTATGTTTTTCTTTTCAGCTGGGTCTATCCAGTGCATCATGATTACAGACGAGCAAATTTTTGCACTAAACGAAGCTGCGGTTTCGCTAAACACAAAGAAATCAACAAAGTTTTGTTTAACAGTGTGTAGTGGTATTCTTTAAAGCTATTTCTAATGAATAAAATTATTAAACGCTGAAATACAAATTGTTTTAAAAGTACTTTCGTTGTTTTTTGGTCGTTTTTGTTTTGTTATGGTATATATATATATGTTAAAGCAATTATTCACCTGAGTGTTGGTGAATAGTGCAAGAATAATCACCTCAACGCTTCGCGTTTCGATTTATATCCTTGCACTATTCAGCTTCACTTTGGTGAATAATTGTCAATTATACAGATGTATTTCTTTCTGCAATTCTCTGTTTGTTTTACTCAAAACGACTACTTTCTATGTTATTGAACTAGAAGCCACACAACGCAAACGCAGCAAGCACACTGCGCAGTGTCCGACAAGGAAATATCTCCTATTTGAAATTTAGTTTGTTCAATAATTTAAGAAATATATGTTGTATATTAAACAAGTAAAAAATATATCTGAAAGTGTAAATTACACTTTGTGTAAACTGAGGTACCTATCAGGTTTTCAACATCAATTTGAAATTTCTTCGTAGCAAAATCAGGATCCACGCCACTTTTATGCAGTACGATCTGACTCACACACTCTTCTATTAGATTGAAATATTGTGTCCTGAAGAAATACAACAGTTGGTAAAATTAAATTCTTAAGGCTGACAAACAAGACCGGATGAATGAAAAAATTTAGGACAGGCGAAAAACGGGCTTAGAATTAAGGCTTAGAACGTACCGCTTCAAACAGTGCCAGTGTTTAACACTAGGTCAGTTCCCCCAAACATTTCTTACAAATCCTTCAAAACTTAAAATTTACCTATGCAATCTACTATGATCACTTTGATAGTGCAAACCATTGGTGTAACTGTCCATCCCAATAGACCTTATGCATAATGACGTCACACGGCTTGATACCCACGAGGAATGCTGGTCTTAATAGTCATCGCCCGGGAAAATTAAACAATCTGCTATTAAAATGTTCCCGGGCGATGACTACTAAGACCAGCATTCCTCGCGGGCATCAAGCCTTGTGGCGTCAGTATGCATAAGGTCTATTCCTAAATTGTAAACAATACACATTTACCTCGCATAAACATCATCTCGAATGAGAAGCAAATGTTGTAAGATTGAAGTAAATGCTATTTCGGAAACACTGTCTTTCGTTATACTGACCAACATCTGAAATAATTCTGATGGTTCTCTAAGATGCTATTAAGGCTGATAACAAGATTGTTTATACAAGTTAACCGTAACAACATGGATGAATTTTTATTCGAGAACCAGGTAGCTCATAGTTTTTTATAGTTAAAGGATTAGTGTCACACCAGGAATTCGCGGGCTCAAACTCCTGCTGGCGGCCATTTTTCAGGACGAATGGATTAGATGATCTGGAAAGCTTTTACAATCCGTCATATATTTAAACCATCCTTTTATAATCCTTGCTCTTTTTGTGTGATTTGTATCAGAAATGTGCCAAACAAGGTATTTTTATCGCTATTTGTTGTATTTGAGTAAAATGTAAACAATAACAAAAGCCCGCAATGCATGACCCTGACACTAATCCTTTAAGGAGTCAATTCCGATTTCTTGAGTCCAAACAGTGGTGTGCAAGCAATCCCTAGAGATTCAAATGAGACTTGCGCCATGTTACGGGATTTCAACACTAGATTCGCAAACAAGAAAAATATTTTCGCGGACTAGCGATCCAGTGAGACTTTTATAACTTGTTTAGCGACACGGTCCATTAGAAAAACCTGGAATTAGCTGGGGAGGGGGGATGTTATGACAAACTGTTTACGACCTTCATAGCTATTGGACGTCAATTCTGACATTACTGATATAGTGGCTGTCATACTAATTAGTCTTCTCATCTGTGAATTGATAAAAGGATACTCAAAATTGACTTGTATATCTGTTAATCTGTGAGACAGTTCAGCAAAATCATCTTCCTTATGTTCTTCGAAGATGTCAAGTTGCACATTGAGTTCATCATTCCCAATATCACGAAGATCCTGAACGATATTGCAATATTGTCATCTGAACGAGTCTTGTTACCTTCTTGCATTGAAGTTTACTCTAACACTTCTGTATACTGTAAAAAGTCAGCCCATCGACCATTTTTTTAACAAGTGACCTATCTTATAGGGGCCGTTTATATGGGGCGAGTCAGCTCGAGTACCCAACATCCCATATTATTTCTTACTAAATTTCATTTTACGTTTATACAGTATATTGGAACCGAGCTGACCCGCCTAAGCGAGATCCCGCCTCGACTGTAAAAAAAAAATGGTAGAAAAATAATACCTTTAACACCTCCGTTAATCCTTGTCTCAAAAACTCATTTCTCAGATGAAGTCTGAAGTCTAAATCATCTGGCTTGCTCACGAGGGCATTAATGAACTGCACACACGCCACCTAAAAATTCCCCCCAAAAATTATCCTTATTGAACAGTTCAATGCACTGTGGACAAGAAAATAGTGCTATATAGTATTGCTTTGACAAACCTTTCAACTAGGGCGAGGTGGTTAATCGATAAACCGGAAAAAAACGATATTTTTTGAAAACCGATTCAACCGATGTTGTTCTAGGCAAAAAAAAACCCGACAAAACCGGGAAAAAACTGTTTGAAACCCACTATACCGCTGTATGACAACACCTTGTCAAAATCACGGCGCATTCAACGTTTTCTGACGAACTTCCAAACGTTAAAAACGTGACAATAGCACACCTAACGGGCCTGGCTTACCGCTTACATAATAATAAGGCAGTACTATACCATTAATACAACTGTTTTTAAAACTAAATGTGTAGCGTGACGTTTAATTTATACAACTGTAGTATTACTAGACAGTATATTTTGACGTACGTAAGTTATAAAAAAAATTTTCGTTTTTTTCCAGACGGTTTTGAGCCTAAACCGTTCTTTCTGAATAAACTACGAAGTTTACGAAATGTTTATCACATGCAGAAGGAAAAGTATCTACCTTAAGTTGTACACTGTCACTGTTCTTTAAAGCGTACAAAACGTTAAAGAATCTTCCCCGTTTGTCATTCTCTTTGCTTTCACCATGAATCGTCATCACTTGAAGAGCTTTGGAGTGACTAGAATAACGATTAAACACATTAAAAACGGATACAACATGTTATGTGTGTTGGTCTGGCGGACAACATACATACGACTATATGTCCCAACGCAACGGGAACGTTCTTGGTCACATGGACATGGTTTTGGAATTTTCTGCATGTCTATCAACAGCGTACCTACCTGGTACTTGGTTGAATTACAGAATTACTGTTTACAGTTTTTTTTAGAAAAGCTCAAAATTTTGTGTTGTGTAACGAAATACAGGCGGTTTGTACTCAAAGAGACCCTGGGAACGAGGTTGGTACACTGGAAAAAAAATATGAAATCCATACTACGAAATTTGCAATTGCACCAATAAATCCATAGTATATCCAGCCTATTTCCATACTATATCCATAGTATGGGAATATACAATTATTATGGATAACCAAAATCCATTCTATTTCCAATAAAGGTCCATACAATTTCCATTCTATGACCTTCTATGGATTTTCAAAATTTTTTCCAGTGGTATGTACTATGTTATGTTGGGTTTCTTTTCTCACGGGTTGGGTTTCTGGCAGGAAAAAGTATTTCTACGTGACAAATTTAACTCAAACAACTTTATTTTTACACTGGAACTTTTGATGAGATGATTGAGTATATCATAACTCAATTCAAAATTGAGTTTTTGGAGCCATTTATCGGTCCTAAGAAAAATACCCTGCGACCGTATGGATTGAACTGCATATATATGAAAAAGATCGATCGAAGCTCTTTGCTTGGACGTTTGGTGTCTCATTCAAAAACTTGGCAGTCTTCATGAGATTTGGGCACCAGTGACAGCAGTATTCACGTTGCTTCTAACATTGTTTTTGAGTTAAAGACTCCACGTAAGATCGCAACAATCTTTTGTCTACACGATGCGAACTGAACGTTTATTGTGGGCCAACATGTTCGTTGATTACATGTTCGTTGATTCCATTGCACTCTTCGCGAGTGCAATTGTACTATACGTTTTATTCCATTGCACTCTTTGTATTTTGGATAAATCGCACCGTCAAAATGCTTTTCGCGAGGCGTCGCCTCGTTGAATGGAACATTCCATCTTTCACCTCATGAGAATATTCTTACTATTGCACGAATAAACATTCATTATTTGTATACTATACATGCAGAATGAATATTATCGCACATACTCAACTAAACACAGAGCTGCCATGAGTTTGACAACGTCTGTCATCATGCTGGTATCTTCAGGATACATTGACTTCGCAATCAACAACACACCTTCTTCACTTTTCATCATCAAGTTTAAACCAAACTAAGGATAAATCATGCATACACTGAGAATGTCGGAACCAGTTAACAAGCTCAAACGTCTACTTCAATATTCTTGTTAATGCGTTAAAAAGAAAGGGACATGCATGTGTAGAAGTGTTTAAAATGAAAGACAGATCAAACGACAAATGAACAACAAGGAACAATATGGGCAGCAAAATATTGTTCAGGCCTGTTTTCAACAACATTGTAACAGGCTAGGCATTTTTTTGCAGTGTAGGCTAAGTATGTAATTACAGTAAGTAAGCGTAGTACTTGATGTAAAGCACATTTGATCATATGCAAATGTTAAATTTGCGCTATAGAAATGTTAGTCGTAATTGTACTTGAAAAAAGACTTACATTGTTATTCATAAAAGCTTTCAGGCACTTGATAATTTCATGTTGAATTTTATGGTGTATTGGACCAGTTCTATAGAGAGAAAGCACAATATATTCATCACCATTGTTTGATAGTACTGTTCATTGCTTGATAGTACTGTGTATTGTTGGATAGTGCTGTACATTGCTTGATAGTAATGTACATTGTTTGATAGTACTGTACATTGCTTGATAGTAATGTACATTTATAATTTTTAGACCTTCCGCTCGGGGGATTAGGCGAAATATTACCCTCAGTGATGATATTTCCCTTGGGGCTTTGAAAGCCTCCAAGTTGAAAATACAAAACTTGCCACAAACCTTCGTTAATATGTTTTATCTTTTGATTAACGCAAGTATTTCGAATCACATATCGTTTACAATATTGATAACATTTTTCAAAATTCGCTTCAAAATTTCAAACAAAAACGAGCTTTTTGAAGTTTAAAAACTGAATAATTCATCACTCCTTAGTAAATTTTGTCAGCCATCTTGTTTACGTGATCGCTGCGCGTGGTGTACGCAAAATAATCAAATCACCCGCGTGATATGATTGAAATCACCCGCTACGGTCAAATACAATGACGTAACACAAACTTAGCTTTTTGATTGGACAATTTGAATTTGAGGTATAATATTGTTTGATGGTACTATACTGTTACCACACTGTTTGATATTTAACAAATATAAAACATTTTCCGTGTTGATATACAGTTATATCAACAGTGTTGATATGCAACACGAGTGGCAATTGGGAAAACGAGAAATTGTGTGGAAACACGACGCCCGAAGTGTATATAACTGTATATCAATACGGAAGAAACACAAAGAAACACACAGAAAGAAATTTTCCGACGTTTCCGTGTTGACATGGAGTTATATCAACACGGCTCTTAGCCAATCAGCCTTCAGAATTTACAAATACTGTATTATAAAAAATGTTTTGTTGTTCGTTACAAATGAGTCGACTTACTTCACTCTGTGTTCTCTTAAATGTTTTAGCAATAAATTCATTCCCTCTTCTCCAAAACCTTGAATCCACCTAATGAAAAAATAGAATGCAAATAGTCAATGAAGTGTAAATGAACTGAAAGATTTTGTATTTCTAACGTATGCTCACCATTATTAAATGCATAATTTATTTTCACCCAATTGAAAAGGTTTGCGCTTCAAAACATGAATTCTAGAGTCACAGGCTAATTCCAGAAATCATGTGGACAGAGTTAGCAATCTAAACCTGGAGTTACTGGCTCACAGCTCCACAAGCCCTTGGCTCCGAAAACCTTCCGCATAAATTGTTACTCTTGTGTTAGTATGTGCTATGCAGTTATGTACAATAATTTATGGCTATTTGCAGGCGTGCCAAATAAAGCTGTTAAATTATAAATAGAATCTACTGGCATGCTCAGTCGTCTGGAAATCCCAGGTTTGATTCCTCGATGTGCCAACTCCAGCGTGTCAGCCCATGTGAGCCTATTTGTATTCCACATATCATGTGGTTTCAGGTAAAACTGAAGCCCACCAAGCACCTAACCCAGGTCGCTTTTCACTCATTTTGTAGCTACTTTGTCGCTTGTTTTATTGTAATAAATGTTGCTCTCACTTTTGACCTATAACACAAATCCCAATTTGTCGCTTTTTTCCAGTTCGCTTTTTTTACATAGTAGTCTGTCATCTCATTTTAAGGAATGTCACCTGTCTGTCAGAACCCTTTGGCACAGAATACTACACAGAAGTCCATCTTCATTGTTTTTTTGCGTAAGCTCTATTCGTCATGATTCGTCACTCAGCAAGTACCGTAAACAGAAGCAGTTACCCCCCTGGACATGCGCCATTTTTAGTATTTCCAGGGGGGTGACGGCTTCTGTTTACGGTACTTGCTGAGTGACGAATCATGACGAATAGAGCTTACGCTAAAAACAATGGAGATGGACTTCTGTGTAGTATTCTGTGCCTTTGGTGAGCCTCAAAACTGGACAGTGTGGTAAGTACTGGAAATTTGTACGTGGAAATTTGGAAAGTAAATTTTATACATCTCTGCAAAAAATAACTATGGGCCCTCTGCCAAGAGTTGAACCAGTGGACCGGATTCTGGTGCAGCACTCTAACCAACCAGAGTCCAGTTGCCAAGATCCAACTTCATGTTTATGTGTATATATACTAAGGTGATGGAATGGTATCATACATGGGTAAATATCAGGACTTTGGGATATCTCTCTCCTGGCTAGGTCTAAATGAAGGACTGTATAAAATTTACACTCAAAATTTACACTCTACAAAATTAAGTTCAATCGAGTGAGATGCTCAAAAGTCCTTAAGTTACTGGGAGCTGATGGAAGGTGTCGCACTCAGAAAACATCTCATTTAACATCATGCATCGAGGGAACAATTGTGTTATGTTACACTGAGTTTCTCTTCTGTTTCAACTACTACCTAGTGCGGTTTCAAATTGTCCCTAGTGAGTAGTGACAGTTTAAACATAGAATGTTGTTAAACGTAAACAATGCCACCACAACTTACGGCAGATTGAGAAAATAAACTAAAATCTGTATCTGTACATTAAAATTATTGTAAAGCAAGGAAAAAATCCTTTAAATCATACCCAAGTGGTCTTCCAGTTAGTGAAACACGTGCTGAACGTAAAGATCGAAGAAGGTGTTCAGATGAGACATCAGTTCGAAGAAGTTCCTGAATATAATCTGCTGGTGTTTCTAGTCCTTGTGAAGGGACCTATATTGTAGAGAAGAGAATGTAATTGTACAGTATACAAATAATGAATGTTTATCATATAAGTGCAATGGTACAAATATTTTCATGAGGTAAAAGATGGAATTCCAAAATATTTGGACCTATTGCACAAATAAAAACATTAATTATTTGTTTTATATAACACCAAAATAAATCAGACTGCAATGGAACTAATTAAAAAAAAAAACATATAGTAGGTACAAAAATGCACAGCTGAGCATATTTGTATTCCATATATCATGTGATCATAATCAGCCAATTAAATGACCAGAATTTAATGAGGTGTTATATAAAATATATTATAATATAGCATTTGTAAATTTTGAACGCTGATTGGCTAAGAGCCGTGTTGATATAACTCAATAAACAGATTTAGATCGAGGACGCGAACGTCAAAGACGACGTGAAAATGGCGTGTTGTGCCCATGTATGGATATGCCACGCCATTTTGACGCCATTTTCACGTCGCCTTTGACGTCCGCGTCCTCGATCTAAATCTGTCTAATGTCAACACGGAAACGTCGGAAAATTTCTTTCTTTATGTTTCTTTGTGCTACATTATAAAACAAATATAAAACATTTTTTCCGTATTGATATATAGTTATATCAACACTCGTGGAAATTGGGAAAACTCTAAATTGTGTGAAAACACTCCGCCCTTCGGGCGTCGTGTTTCCACACAATTTCTCGTTTTCCCAATTTCCACTCGTGTTGATATAACTGTATATCAACACGGAAAATGTTTTATATTTGTTAAATACAACACAAATGATAATGAACCAGAAATACTGTAGATATAGGAGACAAAATAAAGAACAGGATAAAAAGAACTGAATGTGAATCTACTAGTAATTATTATTGACTTTAAGGCTCAAAGACTGGTAAACAATATGATCAGTAAAATACTGAACATACTGTAGCTTCCATTCCTGGTGGTCATAAATATATTATGTTAAATATACCTACAAATATGCAGGGTGTGAAATTTGTAGCATCCCGATTTGTTATAAAGTAAAGAGTGAGATACTGAAAAATACACAGTGAGATATTTTCCACTGATATCTCCACTAGTGAAGATACTTCACTAGTGAAGATATTGATCACGTTACTTTTTCCAATTTGCTTTTGAGCGTGAAATTTCACAATTTTTTGCTTGGGACAATATAATAAACAGAACATTACACGGTGGCTTGACTGAGATATGACTTTTATCTTCTCGTGTTAAAAACACTATTTTACTCGCTCACTGCGCTCGTTCGTAAAATATTGTTTTCACCATTCGAAAATGACGTGACGTGACCGCGAATGGTCGCGCACGGAAGTGCTCCGCTATTTAGCGGAATTTTTAACGAAATTAAAAGGATTTTTTGAGAAACTGTTGTCTATTGCGCATCGTAACAGTTTCGTCCGCGGGAATTTGAAGATTGGTGTCGTGTCGTTTGTCTTGAAGTTGAATTTTTTGTGCTATTTGTTATTTGTTTTGTCGATATTGATCTATGATTGTAGTAAAAGACCACAGAGTAGAGACTTGGAAGAACGGGAGGAGGCGTTATAGTTGCGGTAAAAGACACTATTCGCACAAAACGTCGCTACGATCTTGAAAGAAATAACGTTGAATTTGTCGTATTAGAACTTTTCCAAGAGAATATGAAATCAATCTTACTTTACACTTTCTATCGTCCTCCAAATTCTTCGTTGGATTCCATACAACAACTAAATTCATCACTTGACGACAATCCTGAGTCCGCCTGCGTTCTTCTTACTGGGGATTTCAACCTTCCTGCGATCGACTGGTCTCTGGATCATCCAAGCCCAACCAGCGTCGGAGGTCATTTGGAAGACAAGTTCTGTTTATACCTTGAACAATTAATATCCGGTCCTACCCATCGTGATGGTAATAAACTTGATCTACTGCTCTGCAACTACCCTGCAATTATTAGGAATGTAACTACAACTTCTCCTGAACAATACGGTTATCCAGCTGATCATCATATCTTAGAGTTCGCAATTCCGCAGAATTTTTCTCGGTCTCAACCAATTAAACGGATAATCTTTGATTATGAGTGTGGAAATTTCGAAAAGCTACGGAATGCTTTGACCAATACAACATTCGAAGATATGCCATCAGAAAATATTGACCATCATCGGAAAGAATGGTTTCTCACGCATGTCAAAAATTCCATTCCTGTGAAAGTTGTGACAGACACAAACTCGCCACCCTGGATCGACGGAGACGTTAGACATTTGTTGCGGAAGAAGTATGCTGCGTTAAAAAGATTTCGACAGTCACGAACTAGTGCTCGAAAACAAAAACAGCGAACTCTATCTCAATCTGTCAAATACCTAGTCAGACAAAAACATCGCGATTATCTTGGAAAAGTTAAAGATTCCTTTGCTGAAAATCCAAAGCTGTTTTGGAGATACCACAAGTCAGTGCGTCGTCATCAGGTGAGCAATCGACCTGAAATAGTTTATAACGGCGAAACGGCAAAGACCGCAGCCCATAAAGCAGAACTTTTCAATACGTACTTCTCTTCTGTGTTTACATCTCCTCGATCAAGTACCAACCTAGAGGCTGTCACCCGTTCACCTCTATTAAGAACTGAACTGCAACTTTCGGACATAGTAATCAGTGTAGACGAAGTTACCGATTGTTTGAAAAGTTTGAATACGTCGAAGGCAAACGGTTGACTTCTAAAGGAATGTGCTGGACAAATAGCGCCAA